ATAATTTAGAGACTGTAAATAAAAACACCTTTGAGGGCCCGTAACTTGTTAACCAAGACCCGTATAAAAAGTACCAGGACATGCTGTATATGTTAGTGATGTATTTTTTATGTTTTGTATTTATCTACCTTTTTCACTGTGAAATTTTTGGTTCTCAAAACAACCCAGATGTCAAAATACACAATAAATAAGAAAAAAAGCGAAAACAAAAACTATGCCTAAAATAAATAACTTCAGACAATATTGTTTTCCCTCTTTTATTAGCAAAAACTTTGCAGCACATAGAGAGTGAGAGCAGTTACACAAGGAAATGTTAAAGAAGAAATATTTTGAAAATAGTTACCCTGTACAGGGTGAGTCAACGCTGTGGCAAAGTTCATTTATCACTAGAATATAATTGAGGAAAAATATTTAAAAATAGGTTCGGGTGAGTGGGGGTACGGTCAAGAAATGCACATTTTAAAAATAATTTGACTTATACAGTGTGATACGTTTTTGGAGGGCTGGCCAAAGTTGTATTTTTTAAATGTTTTTAGTGGATATTTATATTTTACATGGAATCGTTTTTTGAGATACAATCTAAGTAATCGTCTCTTGTTGTACTAGGTTCACCGTAAATTCTGAAGTGGTTACTATTTATAAATGCCATACAGGGTGTTCACAAAATCGTGCCAAATTTTATCTTTTTCAAAGGCAAAAATTTACTGTTTTTTAAATGGTATTTTTTAACTGCATGTGAAAGACCTTCTCAAAATCTATAACTTTCATAACAGGTATTATATATCAGTTCCTTATATTTTACGATATTTTTAGCAACTTCTTTATTTTTAATTTTTTTTACCATAAATAGCGTCGACGTACTAGAGTTAGAGTTGAAACAAAAAAGCATTGTTTAAAATATATATTTTTGCAGAAAAGAACAATGATCCTAAATTATGCAACTTTCTTATTCTTATTGAATCTTTAGTAAATGAGGCATCTTTTATATGATAGCAAAATATATATTTATCTCAAAAAAATCGTCGATTACGTCATTACGTCAACACTGATGACGTAACGGCTCTTAAATCTATATCACAAGATGACCTTTCAAAATTTAAAATTGACGTGTTTTAGGATTTTTTTCAAAAGTCGTCCATTTTTGAAATAATAAATTTATTCCATACATTTGGATAATAGATAAATCCACATTTTATAAATCAGAGAAAAACGCCAAAAATTTCTCAGATATGAAAAGAATAATAAAAAATTTTCTAATAAGTTGAGAATTTACTACTGCCATAGTTCTAAATAAATGTTTTCATATGTACTTTGTCGTTAAACTAGAAGCAAAGTATATTGGCAGAATAGAATTCCGTAGTTTAATCTGAATCTGATCTAAAAAATCTTGAAGAAACCTGACGAATTTGCACTAACGGTAATAGTTGTAGGTAATTAATTTTTATATATAATTTAAAGACCAGTTAGTTATGTATTCTCTTTTATCTGATATGTCAAAAAGCAGTTAACTGAAATTAATTCTGCTTACAAGTCTAATAGTCGATAATCTGTATAACAGATTCATTTACATATAGTCTGAATCTGTTTTTGGAGCTTTATATATATGTATATGTAAAGTAGTCTGGGATGAGTTCACACCTGTTGCCTAAATTATCAGGTCAAGTTTCTATTACAATAAAATTATCATAAAAATGGACTGAAATTAGTTCCTTATGGTTGGTACGCCTGTTCTAAATTTAGTACCTTCAGTTCTAGGTGAGTCACCTGCGGTTTTACAATTTATTTCTTCATAATCGATTCGAACTAATTCACATTTATTTGTAGAGAAGGAGCGCCCGAGCATGGGCTTTTAGCGAACAACAATCGAATTTTATCGTTTCAGAGTATGTTGGAATGGCCTCGTAGGATTAAGGTGTTTCTATCACTTTAGACTTAATCTCGAAACCGGCGATCACCCTCTTTATGTTCGAACTGACATTTTGATAATTTACATATATTTTGTCTAGATGGAGAGGTATTATTTATTAATACCTTTCTACTGAGCGCATTTATTAAAGCCATTACAAGTTTTCCGGTAAATTCAACATGACAAGTGGATTTGATCTATTGCTCTTGGATAAATAGTGGTGGTATAGGTATTATTGTCGAAAACACTAGTTTGATTGATAAACGGTTTATGAAACCAGTTCTAATTTCATAAATATTCTATTACAATCCGCGTTTTGATAAATGTTGACTTTACAATATTTCGTGTCTGCTATTTCGATTTTTGAGTCACAAATAAGTAGAAATGAAATACTAACCTGCCACGTAATAGTTTCATTTGTGTTTCATTCTCATAAAGTTAGCAGACACTATTCAAATGTAATTGTTAACAGGTATGACTATCTAGACTTTGATCGTTTATACAATGGGTATAAAAAGTAGATTGAAATGAAAAGAGGACCATACCGTTAATATTTTCTTTATTAGTCAGTATATAAACAAATCGGCCATGCATTAAGCAGGCACGTAACCAGGAATGGGTCTGGGTGGTCCATGGCCTACCTAAAAACATGCTGGCTCACTCTGTGTTTTTTTGCAAATCATTTTTATAGAATGTGGTAAAAGATGGTAATAAGTTTTTTAAAAGTCAGTTCCATAGAACAGGGTGAAACAAACACTAGCCTACTCGCAAATATTATGCACCCCATGGCTCATCCAATTTCAGAGGTCTTGTTACGTGCCTGAATTTCAAGGTGGCTAGCCAGGAGCCAGGATGAAAATAACCATTTTGAAATTTATTTTTATACAATTTTCCTTAAATTATAACAATTTTTGCTCTCTACTGGGCAATTCAGTCATAGTGTCATAAATTTTAAGGGAAAATAGAGAAAAATGACCGGAATAGGAATACGCGATTAAAAAAAAAATTTAAATGCATATTCACGCTGAAAAAGATTTGTTCAAATCATTATTTAAACACCTTTTCGGACTGCTCCTGATCGCTGACCTACAAGCTTTATAGAGTGAACCGCAACATTCGGTCATTAACCTAGCTTTTAACCTAGATTTTAATACGTTTTTAATCTGTAGTGAGCTACAATAAATAAAGCTTTTTAGCCAGACATATGAATGAATAAATAATATATTTTTTTTCCATTTTAAATATTAACAAGTATTATTTACTTGTTAATAAAGATTATAAGGATAATAATTGTTTTGGAATGTTAGGTATACCTTATTGTGCGACTTATTGCTTTTCAATTAGTATAATACTGCCTATTTAAAATGACAGTACGTTTAAAAAAACACTTACTCATTCGTCCATAACTTTGTTATTAAAGTTTTAGAATCCGCTACACTTTAATTAACAGCAGTTAAGGGGTAATTTGCTTATTTTTTAAAAGATCGAGAAACATTTTTTTTCGATTTTCCGGCTTTATTATGCCTTTCAAATTCGTAGTTAAAATTAAAGACATTATGACTGAATCACCCAGTATACTGAAGGGAGATACACATTCACTTTCTTAAAGATTTTTCAGTAATTCCCGAAAATGTGTCTGCAGGTGTCGGAACTCAGCTTTGCTTTACGCACGATGGAGATCACAACAATATTTATGCGAAATATGTAAGTACAAATCATTGAATCATGGAAGACCTCAGTTTTGGCCTCCTCGCACACTCTATTCAAATCCTATATATCTTTGCAAACGGGGTAATTTATAACTTTAGTGTAAAAGATACCTGTGCAAGATATTCAAGGATAAAGATTAGTTATCGATTAGTGTGCGGATAAAAATTGTTCGGAAATTTTCTAACATTTATTATATTATGTTTTTTTATTGCAATAAATTCTATTTTTTGCTCAAAAACTGTTACATTTACGTAACAAACAGAAGAGGTTAAATTTGTCTCAAATAAGTCTAAAACCATATTGCTAATAGCAAAAATTATTTGCACGACTGCCTATGTTACCTATTGCAACTGAAGGGGAAAATTAAGAGATTATCCGGTAAATAATGTTTGGAAAGTGGGAAAAATGTATGTAATTTCATTTTGCAACTTCTCCATATATCCTACTACACTTTGCCACTACGCATCCGACCTTCACTAGCCATATGAAATAAGTTGAACTGTCCTTAAATCTCACAAATATTAAGATATTATTTTATAACCTCTTAGAGGTTGTTAATTAATAATTTATAATTTGGCACGCAAAATATATGTTTTAAACTGGTGTTTGCTACTGCGCATGACGTCATTTAGTGCGTTCGAGAATCGAGAAAATGAATGCCAAAAGCAGGGCGGTCTGACAATTGAGAATTGTGTTCTCAGTCGCACTAACTGACGTCACAATAATCACGTGACAAAATTTAAAATTTTACATAGGTAGTTTTAAAATTCTTTAATTAATTTGTAATATAAAAATAAACTCATTTATTTACCATTGTTAGTTGTTGTCAGTTATTGACCACAAAATGAAGTTCTAAAAGAAATTCAATTTTCATGTAAGTTGTCTATCGTATGTAAATTTTATTTGGATGTATTCAATCCTTAATTTATATTACTTAAATACACAGTAAACCGAATTAAATATACATTAATATATTTTAAGAATAATTGTTTATAGTAAAATAAAAACAAAGTACAATAAATTATCCATTTATTTTTATTCAATTATAAATATCTTCCTATTTTACATCGTTGTTGTGAAGATGAATGCTATTAAGTCTGTTCTATTTTTTGGATACAAATTTGTGTAACGTAACTATATATTTACATAGGTAGGTGGTATTTTTGTTTCTCTTCTCCGATTTTCATTGTGCTACACACATTATTCAGAAATTCTATTTACAAATAAATATTACATATCATTACATTTTCCCTAAAATTAAAATATGGCGTTTTTAAATACAAAATTAAATAAATATCTACATTAAGTATTTACAATTTGTCGGCAGTGTGTTATAATACATTATGGTATAATACTTTGTATTTGAATACCTACTGGATTGCCGCTAAAGTCGATCGGGTTTTGGTTTATCTAATATCTCACGAATTACTGTGTAGTTGGTGCTTCCTAAGTCGTTCCTGTGCCTCTGCTTCTTATATCCTAGTGGACATGAGTTCAACAAAACGTTGTTCAGTTCTCTCATATCGGACCAATCCATCAGTCTGTTTTCAATTTTCAGTTTTCTTATGCAGCCTTTGAAGTTCTCCCTCGATTTGAGGGTTCCTACCGGGGCGTTATCTAAAATACCATCGTGATTATATCGTTTCAAACTGTCATTCCGAATAACTTTACCTGGTAATCCGCCAACGTATAATGGAGCGTCGATTTCATCCATTAGCGAGTTCACGTCTGACTGTACCCAGATTTTTAGAATACCGTCAACATTTAATGTTAATTCTGAGCTGGAGTACATGGCAGTAACGTTGTGCCACAGGTTGTTGCACAGTGCAAAATCCGAGTCTAGATTATTAGTGACGTTCGACACAGCTCCATTTCCCATGTCTACCGCCATAACAATCGCTCCATTTTGCAGCTCTACAGAGAGGGCTGGGCTGTTTCTGTAGTTGGAGACACTTAACAGTATTCCATTTTGCTCGGCGGTTCTGAATTCAAAACTTAACTCCAGGATTTTGTTTATTTGGTAGTTTTCCTCTAAAAATAAAGAAATTGTCCATATTCTTAAAATAAACAGGAAGAGGCAGGGGACAGCAGTGAACATATTTTGTGGGTCAAACATTTTTTAATAGGTCAGTATGTCTGATGAAAATAAGATAACTCAATATAAGTTACCAGTTAATAAATAACTAAATACATATTTTTAAATAACTCACTGACAAAATGTCACTGAACCTTTTAAATCAGAAACCACACTATAGGGAAGGTTTTCCATGCGCTGAATCTGAACCCAACCTCAAAATTTATTCATTAGGTCAGATTCTAGTGATATTCTAACCTAAAAGTTCGAAACACGGTTTTCTTTTTATACTTGAGATTATGTTACACTATTAGGTATTTTTTTTACAAAACTCGTAGTGGCATCTGAAAGTGCTACAGTTCTTCTTCAAAATTCGTTTTAAATCGTTGGAATATCTCTTTTTTCTTCAACTTGAAATTGATTAGTTTGGTGTATTTGTTGATAATAATCAAAGTAGCACCAGGTGAAGACTCAAAAAGAGCGAAGAATGAAATTACAAACATCCAAATTTCATTGGTTCTTCAGGTTTTCGAAATTTTATCGATTTTTTTCAATTCTGAATTTTAAATCAACATCTTGGATTGGCCATTTTGAATGTTGTAACTTTGACTTCAGATTCATAATCCTGCAGAATCGATGGGAATTTAGTGCTTGTAATCTGCATATTTCTCTTTTTGAGCCTTCACTTGATGTTGCCAAGTTTCTAAACATCGACGAATACGCCATGAATTTTAACAATCAATTTATCGGAGAAAAAGATATATTCGAACAGTTCAAAATGGATTTTAAAGAAGATTTAGTGCTTTCCGCATCGATACACTTTGGCATCTAATCAGACCATTTATAGATGAACTTATCATGGTATGATTTTCCTTGAGGATGTTACAATTTTCCTCTATTATTTGCCACAATTTGTCTCGTGCCATACCAGTGGCGTATATTTTTCTAGGGAAAACAGGGCTGCACCGGTAGCACGCCACTGGTTAATACCACGAGGTTAATATTACATTCAATAAAAGGTCTAATTAAGTGAATACCCTGTAGTAAGTTTCATTCAAATCGTTCAGCGCATTATGAAGATATGACAGAAAATATATATTTTTTTGGAAACTTGGAACACTCTGTATCTCGAGTACTTAAAACTTTACTTATTTTTTTGCAACTAATCTATTCCCGCAGTTTTTGTATTTAAATCACCCTGTATGTCATAAAATAATGAATACTAGAAAACGTATGGAAAAATCACTAGAAACAATAATGTCCCGCGTATCAATAGGAAAGGTATTAGGGATGATTTTAACAAAATATGTACTCCCCTACTCGAAAACTAGTTCAAATACTTACTGTATATCGCATATGCATCACCACCAAAATAAGCTCCTTCTTCAACGTTAGGAAAACACTGTCGAATATTATTATGGCGTACGTCTTTATTTTTGATTAGTTGGTGTTCATCGTTGATAATTAATAACTTCATACATCCCCTAAATGAATGCAGTTTGTATTTCTAAAAGTACGTAAGTATTAGATCGGTTAACTTCGGATGTTTAACAATCTTACCAGATCATTAGCGTTTAAATAGTCGGAGCTCATTGGAATGCCTCCTAGATATATTTCATTTCTGACAACATTTTTCGGAACCTTAAATGTTTTTTTCTGGTCTCCATCTAGAATGATTGTCACTTTCCGTTTCCGCTTGAATATTTCAACGTTATGCCATTGTCCATCATTTAGTCTCTCCTTCAAAATTATCGGAGAATTTTTCCTTCTTCCCTTAATGTGCAAACCTAAGTGCCCTTCCGTTAACTCCAATAGATTATAGTGCTGCTGCTTTTGAATGCCCTGAAACATATTAGTACTTTTTATAATTATCTATTAGGTATTTAATGTAGAGTTATCTATTATATTTTGTATGAATTTCTTGTTTATGATTTTTTTTTGGTTTTGGATATTTTTTAATTTTTTTTTCTAATAATGTTTAAAAAACAACTGGACGTTAAAATATTATGGCTCAAACTAAACTACCAAGAATGTGTGCACCGATTTCTGTCAATTACCATTAAAGACTATCTAAACCTCTGGTAGTGACGACATTAATCCATGACGCGTCAGTTGTGAGGCTTTATATTATAGGTTGTAATGGGCTCTTTTTAAAAGTGTGGGAGATATACTCAAAAGAGTATGCCATAATAGTAATGTAAATGACTCGTATAAAATGATGAAGTTTGACTGACTAATACTGAATAGTAAATATTCTCATTTTAATACTCTTTTGATCGTATTTCCATTACTGTTACAGAGCAGATATCGTTATACTCATCAAATCTTATATCACAGTAATTCTGATAAAGCGTTCTAAGATAATATGTAAAAATATTATTTTATACTTATTAAAAAAAATAAATGTTTGGACCACATTTACGTAATATTACTTGTTATTTTTTTAGAACATTAATGTTCAGAACATTTGTATTTTTCATATTTATCTATAAGAAAAATGAATAGGAAAATAAATAGTACTTACGGTGGATATAAAAATTACCCCGTTAGGATAAAATGTCCTAAACTGGAAGGTAATTTTATAGTCGTGTTTCCAGAAATTTGTTTTTATGTGGGTATAACTGTCCGATTTGTCGCCATATTTAACAGCGTCTGGATCGGTTTCATAATTGGCAGACGTAGCGCAACCCTCTGTGTTTTGCATTGAATTCGAGATGTGAGTTGATAGACTCTTCACGGCCTTTTCTTTAATATTAATCTTGGCTGGTGGTGGTTCTCTACCGATGTCCACATTAGAAAATCCGATCACACTTTCTGGGGTAAAGAATAATTCCCTGAAAACGTGTTCCAAGTCCTAATTACCGACTACAAATATAGAACTGTATAGGGTGTCCTGAACTCCATAAGCCAAACTTTATCTGGTAAAAGTTCAGTTCAATATGCTTTAGAAAGTGCTTAGTTCCCTAGATACTCTTGGAAGTCGAAATGTCTGTTTTCTTTAATATATTCAAAACGCTTAGAGATAAATAAATGAAGATTTACATAGGTATTTCACTTTTTATCCTTTGTAAGGCAAGATGACAACTACGAAGAATAATCATTTGTATGTGAGGAATACTGAGGGGCTTAGGTAAAATTTTATCCTAACTTTTTTCGCAGGACATTCGCCTATCAAAAATACTAGTTCACAGTTAATTTTTTCCTGAAGGTTGGAAGATAAATACCTATCTGTAAATCGTTTCCGGAAATTGAATAGTATTCAATTCAATTCTATAGCAAGGTAATAGAACGGATATGCAATTCGGGACACCCTGTATGTTTAGAGTACAGCAATTACATCTTTTACTGATGATATTGTAGGAAACAACTTTTCTGTGGGCTATATGCCCCCTCAAGCATTGAATTACATCTCCAATATCTACTAAACGTCTATGATCATGGTCAGCAAAATCATAAAAAATATCCGGGGATACTAATGAGGGCTAATGACGTCGAAACCGGGTTCTGTCAGATAATTTTACTGGCGAATGGTCTGGCTAGTTGTTATATTGGAGATGTAAATCAATGCTGGCCGTGGCATTGTTTACGACAATATCAGACTTACTTTAGATAAGTAAAATGTGGTACTAATTACGCATTGTTAATTTGATTTGCATTCATCAGTTGGAGTTGACAATGGTTAAACAATTTAGTGCTACTTGTCAGTTTAGTCTTCCTGATGTTTTGAGAGGTATACTTCACCCTTCTTCAGAAAACTCTAAAACTGTAGATTATTTTAGTCCTGACATCGGTTGCAGTTATCTCAATTTATTTGAATTGTTATTGCTTCTCTGTATAGTTTTGGTAACATTGTTTTATTTCTTATTATATTTCTCTATGTTGATATGATTTCAGTGACACTTGTGCCCTTTTAACCTTTGCTAATATGTCTTTCTCTTTGTCAAATGTATACTTTGTTGCATGCGTACAGAAAGGTGCATACATCGGGGTCTTGCGGTACGTTGTCTTTGTAGTTAGGTACCCTTCTGATGTCTTGTTTAGTATTTCCAATGTTCCTATTAGTATATCTTTTTTCCTCTTCTTAGTATACTTAATAATTAATCTACAGGAAATAAGTGTATGCAGTAACTCGTGCAAAGTACACATTAGACAAATAGATGCAATGCAGATGAATGAGCACAAGTGTAATTTATTAAATAACAACGTAAATAAATTAACAGTTGCGGAGCAAAATATATCCAAGACCTTCAGGAAGCAATAGAAATCCAATAAAATTGCGAGGGCTTAGAACTACATAAAATTTGGAAATAATACTCAGAAACTAAGGACCGGGATGCAACGTAATAAATAGGCTTCGAACTATGTACCGAAATGCCATGGACCAGAGTACACACTAAACGTAAATACCGACCAGGCGACTTAATATACATTTTCAGACTTTCTTCTGAAGAAGATAGCGATATGTTACGTCGTGAAGTCCAACCAAGTGACAACCACCACATAATGGTTTCATAAAGCTTGCATATGTGTTATAGAGAGATAAGGTAGTTAACCTTATTAATTGTCTATTGCAATCATGTCTGTTTTTTTCTATCTTTTCAAAATACTTATTTTAACTTATTTAATTATTATACTTACTTATTATTTATGAATATATTACTAATTCCACCACTAAATCCTTCATTCATGTCTCCAATTCCCACAATACGATTCTGAATTTTGATGTCATCTGAGAAATTAATATTTTTCTCGTTCCTGTTGACCACTAAAGTTCCTTCTTTTGCTGATATTTGAATGATATTGTAATCATTTTTATCTAAATTGGCGTCATAGCTGATTTTCTCTCCATCAATCTTCAATTTGTAATTGCTCAAAGAGACATTGTATTGACCAAGGGTCATAATCAGTCCATTTGGCGCAATGGGCCATAAAATGAAACTGATACTCTCGATAATTTCATCTAACAGCTTAATGTTCACGTATCCATTTGGTCTGATCCAAGCTTGATTGAATTCTAGAAGCTGAAATCCCAAAATATGAACTGTATTACTTGGGTAAAATGTTAATTTTAAAAACGCTGTACCTTTATAAAATCTACTTATTTTGGATTAGTGCAATAAATATTTTTTTTTTATTTTAATTTGTCATGGCAACAGTTGTAGTACCTAGCTAGATATTACTATTACGTCTTTCTAAATTATTAAGATGATATTATTTAGTAACAATTTAATCAAATTAAATCTTAAATAACGTGTATATAACTTTAATCAGAACAATTTGAATCAATCTAGTGAATTTTTTTCTAAAGATATGGCGTAAAATAATGTATATTTACATACTTTAACCTAAACTTACCATAGTTTTTCGAGAGGACTTTTTTATTTGCCATTGTTGTTCTCGGGCTAGGGGAGGCTCGGGGGACGGGTCAGCTAGTAGAACCTCTAGGTCGCTCGATATTGACTTTCTTCCTAAGTTTACTCAGATCTTTACTATCGGTATCTTCAATGTGTCCTAGAGATTTTGCTAGCGGGTCCGTCTTCACAAAGTCTAGCCCGAGAACAACAAGGGCAGGTTAAAGATTCCTAGCTAAAGCTAAGCAAGTGGATTGTCTATAACTGGTGGCGACCAGGTACATAAATCGTGGCATAATAGCCCGAAAAACCACGATATTTTAATTAACAGTACGGATTGTGAAAGCCTTAAAAGTGAATCTAGTGCACTAGTGCAACAAGGTTAAAGTATTGTGGTTTTAAGGCTTTCACTAGATTCACTAGATTCACAAGTGGAATACTAAGTGATAAATGAGATATTTTACGGAATAGTACATTCTCTTTCACTCATGGGATACAATTTCCACTCATGATATGAATGTTATTTTAGATACTTTTTGCATAAATAAACTACTACCGGTTAACATGATTGTGTCACGACAAGGCCTTGGCAAAAAATCGATATATCGATATTTTTTAATCAATTCATCGATTCCCAGAAAAAATTGAATCGGAATATTGAATAGGATCGAGATATCACGTCGAATCGAATTGTCGAATCGAATCGAAATGTCGAATAGAATCGGCAGTAGGCCTGAAAAGCGGTATATCGATTAAAATCCAAATGAATTCATATCGATAAATATCGAAAAATCGAATCGGAATATCGATTCGAATCGAATTTGAACATTTATGTGTAGCTTAAAATTGCTCGATTTATTTATTATAATGATATATTGCGGTCGGGTTTATTAAGGCAACGTTTTTTTCTAATGTTTCGGTTTATTAAATATTAAATCTTCAGAGGCTCCACGATACATTTGCATAACATTCATTATTTACGAGTATTATGCTAGTTGAAAACTTTTTACACTTTTAATTTCATTGTAATTTTATCGACCTGATAATAAGATTTCAGTGTGAGGTCAGGCCCATTTGCACAAGCATATCTTAGCGACCTTAAGGGTATGAGAAACTGTTTCATGTCTTTAATTTTGGAGATAAGACACGATACAGTCTCTCACATAGCGGTCTACCACCTTGACTGTATTACGAATTTAGGCAAATAGTATCTCATATATTTTGTAGTGTACTAGGTATCATACACAGCAATTATTACAAACAACTTTTTGTCTAACTCTATTATTTTATTCCCTATGCATAATATAATTAAAATAAATAAACATTTACTAAACAGTGAAACAAAATTAACTATTTTTAATTGAAAATAAAGGAATAAAACAAAAACAACATTATTAGAAGATATAGACAAATCCAAGAAAAAAATTAGGCGATATATTTTTTTTCATTAAGATCACTAGTCCACATAATACTATAGCATCCCTAGTCATTACGAAATATGTTAATTTAAATGTTTAATACTTTTTTATTTGCCTGTCAATATTTGTCAAACACAATAGGTTTGTTCTTCCGGCTAATGCTATCTTAGTAAGTTAGCAATTGTTTTAAACTTTTGATAGTAAGTTAAACTTATCGTCAAAAGTTTAAATCACTGTTGTTTCTTACTGCTAGTAGTACCACTACCTACCAAATACCTGAGTATTTATTTGCCTATATGTTTGGTAACAAACACATTGAATGTTTCATTCATTTCATTTCCATCTATTCTATTCGATTCAAAAATACAAGTCGATTCGTAACGATCTACAATTTTTTCCACGCCAAACTGTTGCATCATATAAATTTAACTCTACAATTACATGTTCCGATTGAATTTAGTTCGATTCGATCTTTCGATTTAATTACAATTCTATAAAATAAAATTTGAATCGATATATGGATTTATTGTACAGGATTAATCGATTCGATTCAAATAAAATTATACAATTCGATTAATCGATACAAATCGATTTTTTTGACGAATCGAAAATCGATTCGTCATTTCGCGAATAGCAAGGGCCTAGTCACGATACTCTAGATACATTTTTGTTATCAGGTAATAGTTCAGGTAAAATTGTTACCATTCATATATTTTTTCTGCTATACATAACATGTTTAATCCATTATACAGAAATTTTCTTTGGGTTGGACTTTTTCTATAATTCATTTGTAAAGCTTTTACCTAAATTACTCACCTGTTTACCTGTTTTCATGATTCCATAAGACATAACTTCGTTGGTTAGTTGCGAAGTTAACTTTAAGAATCCCAAGAAAGATGTAACGTTAATGGGTAGACAAACTTTATAGAATGTGGGTCGTACGCCACCAATGTGATGTGAAACTTGTTTTATTTTGAACACATTTTTTCTGTTAATGTGATTGCTGTTTTTCTTCTTGGCCTGAGTAGTCTCATTCTTCGCAAATAGTATGTAATATTGCACTCCGCTGCTTACTTCATATTCCGTTATTATTTCTGCTTGGTATCTCCGCCCATTGTTGTACTTATTATCCAATGTTAAAGTACTGTTTAAGCCATTTGAATGTTTAACAATTAAATTTAAATAGCCATTCCTCAGGAATAATATTATATAAGCACAGTTTTCCTTAAAATATAACAAGAATTAATGCACTAATTTGATATTTAACAAAATTAACATTGTTTACCTGTTGCGGTATCAAACTGTTTGCATCGTCAAATGAGGCTAGGTAAATTAAACTATTTTCATCAAATGTACAGAAATCAAATCTTAAAGTTAGTTTCGTGGGATTGAGTTTATTATTTCTTCCATACACAGCGTATCCCTTTCCATTGAAAAATGTGTTCACATTATCTGGCTGCTTATCAGTTTCATCTCTAAAATAAAGAAAAGTTGAGACATTACACGAATTAATTAACGAATTAACGATTTACCTGATTTCGCCTGTACATTTTCCTTCCGTTCTCGAAAATTTCCACAGGCCAAACTGTTTTCCATTGAGCATGACTTTAGATATGTACGTTTTTTTCTCAATTACGTTATTATCCGTACGACCGATTTCAATTTTATCGCTAGGATGTATAATGAAGTACTCGGAATCAGTTTTTGCTTGTCTTGGTTCCATATCGTCAACTTGCATTTTGATTAAGGAACCTAATCTAAAAAGTCACGTGTAAATATGCTAAAATAACTGTGGCAAAATTGCTTACTTCTGTATATTAATAGTCTTTTCTTTATCTTCTGCGTTATTTGGTACCAAAATGTTTTTATTGTTGTAACTTAGTATTATACTGTAGTCGTCGGCTTCAACATTAATCTCTCCATCATCGTTCGACAGCCTGAATAATTGACATGCCTCGCATTTAAATGTAATCGACAAGCTCTGGAATACTTCCATTTGCGGTAACTGGTAGGACATGCGGCAGTTGGATATATTCATCGCGACGTTGATCTAAAATAATTAACAAATCATGTGTTCTTATAAAGAGAATATTTTATTTATTACCGCATCAGCTGCTTGTTTAGCGTAATATATTTTGTTCCTCAATTCTTCAATTTTCTTTTGAATGGCTTGCAAGTTCTTGTTATTGTTGTTAATATTTAAATTCTTTCTGGCGTCAAAATTAGGGGAACTTATATCCAGGCTTTCCAGTTGCTCTCTTGTATCTATTAGTTTTGTTTTCAGCTTTTCGATTTCTAGTAAAATACATTAAATAAAAAATAGTTCATGTTGGGATTTGTCAATTTAGGTACCTCTTTCCGAATTAGATATTTTGTCAGGATTATACATTTCGGTTCGTCAGACTGGTTAATATTTAATTTGGAAAGTGTAATTTAAATTTCATTTAGTCAAATATAGTTCAGAAAGCGTCAGCTACATTTCAAATTGACTAATTTGTGTACGAATTTAGTATATTCTGTAAAATGTGCTATGTGCTATTATAGAGAAAGTTTTTCCAGGTAAAAATAGAAAAACCGAAAAAAATACAACTGTTTAACATTTTATTTTTGGTTTAAGAATTTTTTATAGCTTCTATCTAGTTCTTTTTTTTTTCGTTAAAGTTAATATTCTTTTGAAAATAATATTTCAAGACCTTGGGATTGAATACGTTCTGTATATGAGTAAGATCCTATTAGATCGCCAGTCTAGCCGTCAGCTTTTTGGGAAGCATTTTGTTTTGCTTTATTTCCTGTATAAAACTTGTATTAAGTTGTTACAAAAAAGTATTGTTGGATTTTCCACTAAACACATTCCAAATTTACCAATTTTGTTTAATTGACTCCGTGAGCGAATAACAAGCAGTATATTTTTATAACACCATCCACAGGCCTATTTGGGCGCCAACTTTGGTCCTTCGAGCCGATTGTTGTCAAAAGTATCTTAGGAAAAGATTAAATGACCTATGTTCCCTTATGGATTTATTATACAGGGTGTCCCGTTCATATTACAAAAAAAAACTTATGTGCAAGTTCCCCATGGGAAAATAATAGGGGTAGTTTATACAAAGTTTTTTCTTAGACGCCCTGTTTACGAGATACAGTGTGTTGAAGTTGTTACTTTCCAAATGGTTTTACTTAATTATTATCTTTAAATCGGCTAAAGATAAAAATGTCAAAATTTGTACAAGAGTAAACATCAACTGTGCGTTAAACGGTTTCTTTCTGAAAAGCAGTGTCGCCCATACAGGAAATTGGAAGGGTACGATCGAAAAAAATGTTAAAAGTCAAAATTTATTACATTTCTAAACGGTTCTGTAAACTCTAAAGCATACTAAAAAAAGGTATACTTGTCGAAATTCGGTAGCAGGTACCATTTTCGAGAAAAATGAAGTTGCATAGAAGGAAATGGGGGACAATTTCAGTATCTACTGTAGTATTTCGAGTTTGCACATTTATTTAACTGTGCAGCTGTTTTGTTCTGTATGTCTCCGAATCTGTTTCCTAATATTTTTCTATTTTTATCACTTTTTTTAAGCATTCATATCCATCAACAATTCAGTCCATTCAACAATTGTTTATTTTAGTAATGGTAGTGTAGTAGTTTACGAAATCTAATAATAGATAATTAATTACCATAAACTATTTATTTTGATTTACATAAATTATATGTCCAAGTCAAATTAGGTTCTTGCTTTAACACAGACGATAATGAGACGCCAGAAGTTAATAACTGCCTGAAATCATTCAAAATAAAAATAATATTTATTGAATAACAATTGGCAATAATAACAAAAATTCATTTTACCATCACCAGATTAAATATGGTGTTTTTAAGAAATAATTTTCCATATTTATTAGAATTTGCTCATTTAAAAATGTCTGGATGATGATGAGGCTTCAGCATTAGCCGGAAAAAATGGTCTAACAATAAATCACCGCAGTCTATTTAGGATTAAAATGATATGAAAATTTAATATGTACTAACCCGTTTTTCTCGAAAATTGTCACGTTTTTGGATGCATGTTGTGTATTTATGAAAGTTATTTCCATAACACTCTGTATAATTGAGTAAAAAAATTATGAATTCTGGAATTTAATGAACTTAATTCGATTTACTGAAATAAAAACAATATGCCTGTAACGACTCTATCTGAAATTAAACTTATTGACTGTTTCTGAATGAACCTGGAAAATGTGTAGAACTCTTGTTACTCAGATAGGCCTACCTTCTTTAGTTGTTAAGTTCTGATACAAATTGTGCTTTTTAAAAAATCTGGTTTGGCTCGAAATTAGCATGTCCTGGACATTTTTCTCAATTTGTCTCATCTCATCAGAAATTGCTGTACTGTTTTCGATAGCTGCTTCTAATTTCGATACTCTGTCTGCCTGTGACGTCACGTCTAATTCCATTTTGTGGAGGAGTTGATTTAAATCGTTATTTGTTTTGCCACTTTTAAGGATACTGTATTTAAATTGATCTAAATTGTTTTTTATTGCAGTCACACCTAAAACACACATATTCAACAAGTTGTAATAATATCGAAAACTTTTATTGCTGCCTTACTCTTTGATATATCTTTTAAATTGTTGATTCTTTGTTTAAGCCTGTCAGAGTACGCGTGAGCTAAGTTTGTTTTATCTATGATATTGTCCGCATCTGTAGGGTTGGTAAGTTTAGTAAGTTTCTTTAATATTTCCCGAGATATTTCTACGTTTTCCTTCGCCTCTTGTATTCCACTTACTAGTGTCTCATATGCTCCACTGGCATCTATTTTCTTCCACACGTCTTTAGTGAAATTAAAGATGCTGAAACATCAGCATAATTTAGTACATCTTAATTTTAACAGCTGCAGTTTTTTGTGATGTTTTAGTTTTAATTTTTGTGTTTTACTACATTTGAAAAACATAGAGGGAGGGTTAATGAAAATGGAGCAACTTTAATGAGATTTTTTTTGGAAGAATTCAAAAACGAAAGATTTATTGGGATCAGGATTTTCTGATTTATTTTAAATGAATAGTTGGAATTGTAAACTATTTTAATTCTCTACGTACCACTGTTTTGTTCATTGCAATTGTATCAATTATTTTGGAAGATATAGGACGTAAAAATTGTAGCTACGGTTCACTAGAATTTTGAAATAAATGAAGCAAATTTCTTATTTAAAATTATTTGGTAGTTAACGATGATCATCAACGAAGAGGACCAATCGAATGACGTGTATATTCTCGAAACTCAAAAATGCTTCAGTAAGTGTAATAACGATTTGAGGATTGAGGTTAGATACCATCAGTTCTGTATATTTATATAGTTAACTGAAGGATTTTAAGCAAGAACTATCCCTTAATACTCTGCTCATATTTTAAACTAAGTGTTAATTTTAGAAACAAATGATTTGCATTAGATAGCCAATTACAAGATGTTTTTCATTTCTTATCTCACTACAAGTTTAAAGTGGTTAAAGTTGGATATGTTGAATTTAAGTAGTTTTTAGTATTTTCTGCAAAACAAAGACGACTCCTTTTTTAAGAAAACTTTTTTTTAGGAAGTATTGAAGTTTTTTCATTTTCGTCTGTGTAAATACTTACTTCTTGTAAGAATCTATTGTATATTCCAATTTTTGAACGTGATCCATTGCTGTTAAGAAGAGCTCCTCGATTTGAGGGTTTTCTTCCATTTGTCGCTTTGTCATACCTTCTAATTGTGTGTACTCTGTAAAGTTTGATAAATTTTTCAAATTTCCATATACTACTTCTAATGTGGGAAGTAAATGATTTGTGGCATTTATGTCATCAATTATATTTCCCATATTAACTTCAAGATCTTGACTGTTGCTCTTTAATTTTTCTATTTTCTCTTTTAGTTTGACTGTCCTTTTAACATTTTGAAAATTCATTTCTTCTGCTATGTTACACATGTTTTCAACCGAAACGGTGATATTTACAAAGTCATGAAATGTATCTTTTAAATGTTTTAGTTGTGGCTTTGGTATATCTGGCGGCGGTTTAAAAATATTTATTACTTTTTGTGTCATATTCGAACAAAAGCCAAACACTTCTCTATCTTCTTCACTGTTAAGCCTTTTCGATGTTGTTTCGACATGCTTTAAAATTTCTTTCGCCCTTTTTAAAGCATCCTTAACACTAACTTCTTTTGTTCCAAAACTTTTGAGGTCTTCAATTGTCTTCATTAATTCTTTATTAGACCTTTTAATTTCTCCTACTAAGACATAGGATGAATTATACACGTTTTCAATATTAATAATGTTTTTCCTGACTATTTTATTCCCTTTTTTCATTTTCCTTTGTATTTTATCTATATTTTTCTCACACTGATCAATTTTTGAATGCTTTAATATACCCTCTGATCGATTCTTTTTCTCATAAAATTTCTCCGATAACTTGTGGTGTTTGTCCATCGTGGTGGTCAATATTTTCCAGGGCGGATTAACTCCGTCTTTGATTAAGTTGAAGGTATCTTCAACGTCTAAAACCAAACTGTCGATTTCGGAAAAGAGTAACATGGTACATTCATCGCATGCTGAAAGGGAAAATAATAAATACATAATTCATGATCGAGTACTTATGCAAAAACTTACGAGTGCATATTCCATTTTTGATATACTCCCTCTGTTTAACACATTCGTTGCACTTTTCTCCTTTAAATCCTTCCTTGCACTGACAAACCCCAAATTCATCGCAGATTCCTGCCTTCAGTGCCCCAAACAAATTACAAGCACATGGCTCACATATCACGGAATCAGAAGAACGACCTTTGTCAAAGTAGCCTTCATCGCATTTTTCACAAAACTGTCCTTTGTAACCTTTAACATAAATCTTTAAGATATAATTTTTATAAATTGTAGCAAGTTACCTTTTTTGCAATTACAAATAAAACTATTTTCGATTGGTGAGCAGCTTTCCGCGTTGTTTTGGCTTGCACTGGGACAGAGGCACGCTGAGCAATTTCCTTCGGTGTCCTTATAGTAACCCACATCGCACAACTCGCAGTGTTTGCCAGTTGTATTATGAGTACAGTTCTTCAAGAGTAAATACCTGTTATATGCAATTAAATAATTTTTTAGTGTTACTTACCTTGCAACCGCCCGTGTTTGGATCACACTGATGTGACCTACCATTACACTGACAAGGTTTCGCCTTTCCAATAACTACATCGATCCAGTTATTCTTGGAATCGCTTGAAAAATATCTGAAATACCCTTCATTAGGATCTTGACAGGACAAACCACTATATTCCTTAGGACACTCACATTTTTCGATTGAATGACTTGGTGGGTAGGAAGGTATACTTGGTTTTGCTCTGTCTAGCAGTATTTCTCTTATTCTGAAATAGGGTATTGACAATTCGTTGGTTGACTGGTTATTTGTTTCTAATTTACCTATCGTTAGCTTCAACTAGTATAGAAGTGACATTCTGTAAAATTACCATGAAACAAGTTCTCGACAAATTGGCGTGGCAACTGTGTGGGAACTTTGAATTCCTAGAAGCTATGTTCCAATTGTTCTCTACTAGGTGAAGTTCGTTGCTAGCTGTTGACTTCAACCGGACACCATTTCCTTCTAACGTTACTCTAAAGAATCCTCCTTTAACATCCACAGCTAAGTATCCCCCGTAAGAAGTTGTTAAGTCGCCGTTGAATTTTCTTGGTAACATCCAGTAGTCAACATCAATAACCTACAATGATCAATGAGGTGTAAGAGATAGAAATGATTAACTTTTACTTAGTACGTGCCTCAGTTTCGTTATTTGTTTTCTGCGCTCGGATTTTATCCCAATTCAGATGAGCTTCTTCACATTCACTACTTTTTTCAAAACAAAAACATGGTATACAACCTGTGGGGTTTTCTCTTGTTAATCCAAATGTTTTAGGTTTGCACTGATCGCACTTCTGTCCTTGAACGTTTTCCTGCAAATTAGCATTTTTAAAGTTCATTCAAAATAAGTAAGTTAACAATGAATTCGTACTTTGCACTCACAGCTTCCATTGTCACTGCAATTGCAGACGCCGTCTTGACAATGCTCTTCAATCGTACCGAAACGGTTGCAGTTACATTCTTGGCATTCCGGGTATCCATAATAGCCAAAGCTACACTTGTTGCATTTTTCACCTTCGTATCCTATCTTGCAGGTGCACCTACCTTGAATTTCGTCACATTGTAAATTTGAACTTCCACTTTCGGAACAGTTGCAATCCTGAGGAGAAAATATTTAAAGAGTTTGTCTTATTTTATTTTGATTTTGAAGAATGATGATAATATTTACCTTGCAACCGATACCAGGTTCATATCCCCAAGCGTGTTTTACGCAATGTTGGCAGTGTTCCCCTTCTGTTAATGGAGGACAAATACACTTTCCATTTTCAGGATCACATATGTGTCCTGTTTTGTTACAAGGGTCACATTCTGCAATTGTATAAAGGCATAAATATATATAGGAATCAAAATTGCGAAGATGATTTCAGAAAACTACATAGGATTCATTACGACAATGTGTTTATCTTAAAATAATAGGATTGTAAATTTAAAAAAATGTTCTAAAAGTGACACCAACTAGGGTAATTTTGGATTTTATTGCAGAGATAATGGCAGGTATACGCACGCAATATAACCGCTCACAATAAAAAAAAAAACAAATTCCTCTAACTTTACATTGTTTCATTGTTTATGTATCTTTCCATTTTTAAATGGATTGTTATGAAGGAATGTAGCGTGAATAGATATCGTGTTGAAGGGGATCAGGGAAATATTTTTTAAAAGTTTGCAATAAGCAAGGAGTGTAGTTTTTCATTACTAGATATTTGGATATATTATTTTTTATGATATAATTGTTGACTAGCATGTCTAAGTCTTGCTATACCTAGACATTTGGTATAAATAAGGACACATTTTAAAATTGTTAAGAGTTAATTTAATTCTTTTTTCTACGTTCATGCAAAAAAACAAAACTTTATTGAACTATATTTAGTGAGCAAACGGACTCTTTATTGCAGTAGTGCACTCATCTGTCATTCTACTACAATGTTCTCGATATCGTATTTTTCTGGACGTACCCTAACATACGCGCTCACGACTATTGTTATGATTTGGATAATGCAACTTTAGTTCTAGAAACGTCAGACAAAAATTAATTCTGACAATTACACAATTTAAAGTTTTAAAATGATTGATATTATTGGAAAAATAGATGATAGTGATGAAGAAGAATTTGCTGAGACCCCACGCCATTAAACTTATTACCTAATAAATCTAGAAAACAATATGAAATAAGTTACAATCCTTTTAAAGAGTGGTGCTTCTATAAAAAAATTGTAAATTTTACAGCAAATCTGCTTCTTGCCTATTTTAAAAAAATATCGAATGATATTAAACCGTCATCACTTGGGTCTAAATACTCAATGGTGAGAGCTTGCCTTTATTTAAAAGAAAATATTGATATTAAAACTTACAAGAAACTAATGGCATTTATGAAGCAGAACTCTGTTGGATTTCGGCCAAAAAAGTCAAAAGTATTTAACAGGGAACACGTTTTTAAATTTCTAAAAGAAGCTCCGGACTCCCAGTATTTGATTTGAAAAAAGTAAGTAGGTAATTTTTTAGCTTTTGTAAAATACTGCTGGCTGTAGGTCGCTGTAATATTTGGCATCGCAAGGGTATGTCGTAGAGATGAGCTTCAAAAATAGAGTTTCGAAGACATAGAAGAAGTAGGCTCAATATTAACTGTAAAAGTGCCACGGTAAAAACTGAAAAAGAACGAAGTTTTGTTATTAGAAGTGAGGTGGAAGAAGGATTAAATTTGAACAATATATATACATGATGTTAATTAAGTATATACAATAAATTCAACATACGAGTGATTAAGACAAAAATTTCATATAAACATTGGTCGCCAGATGCTTCGTTTTCAAGATACAGGGTGTTAAATTTTTGTAAAAAATAGCTATTTCGTAAATATCTTAAATACCCTTTACCCAATTTTGTTGTAATTTGACAGTGTTATTTGTAGTGTTAAGAGGTTAACTTAACTCTTAACTTGATTAGATTTATTAAGTCCAATGGCGTCCCATATTTTTCTTTTAAATTACGCTTTTTATTTTCCTACACTTAGTGGCCTGATGGCCTCGCTGAACAATTTCACGTCGCGTGCAATAAACACTTACTTTTTGCACTTGTTGCATTAATAACTATTAAAGATACATGAACGTAAAAGCTGACAATAAAAAGAATGAAAAAATTTGAATTACTGTAGAATAGTAAATATTGAGATTAATATTGGTGTCGAGTAATTTTTCAAGACATAGGACAGTTCAATTTAGTTTTGAAAATAATGGTTTTTTATTTTATGATTAAATTTTTCGCTTTTATGATTAAATATTTATTTATTTTTTCAAAATTTTAATGAACGTGTAGCTTATTAACTTACCATTGCAACCTGTTTCAATTGTACCATAGTGCCGTGGCATACATATGTCACAGTTGTCACCAGTAACACCCTTTTTGCAGTGGCATCTACCACTTTCTTTATCGCAAAATGTATTTGGCGTAACTCCATAATGATTACAAGTGCATTCGACGCAATCTTTATTTTTGTTTTTCCAGTAACCATCCTGAAATTATTGTTAGTAAATATTAGCAGATCTAAGTTTCGCACATACGTTATTATACAGGGTGTGCCAGGTTTTAACGTCGGATCAAGACACAAGAGTAATAAATTTCCATTATTTTATATTTTCCAAACTAACGATAATATTCATATTAAATGTTGCATAAATCATATCTGGTTGTTTAGTATGCGGTAATATCAAGCCTATCAACAAATTGCGATGGTAGTGGATTTGGGTACTCACTTTAATTCATTCAATAAATAAAGTAGTAAAGTCCCAGCAAAAATGTTCCACATTTTATTATTAACTTTTCAATTTTGAATGAAAAACGTCTCTTGAAGGTTTTTTATATCTGCAAAAGTTTCAGGGCATATTCTGTATTTTAATTTTACGAATACAAACCACTTTTGACTGAAAATGTCAAACGAATTTATTTTTTGAATATATTTTTTGAGAATCGCGTTGGTTGGGAAAATACAAAATACTAATGGTAGATTAAAAAAATAATAATAATAAATCACGCAATGTCTCGAAAAGAGATTTTTTTTGGGAAAATGTTCACATGAAAAATCATATTTACGTAATTTCAAAACCATTACCACATACACTAGAGTCTGATGTTAAATTTGATTTACCTTCAGTGGCGCGTGGTTCGCGACAATTAAAGTGGACATATTTTTATAATGAAACATCGTACTCTCACCGTATCTTCGGGGATGATTTCTACCGCCGCATAGAGATATTTAGTGATAAAAATATTTCGATTGAAATTTGCGAAATAAGAAAATAAAATAGAGGTGGACAACTCTGACATATCGAAGAGGATTGCAGCAAAACTCCTCTGTTTGTACCTATCAATTGATTACGAATTTTGCAAATATACCTGCTGCATTTTGGGATCTCAAGGTCGGCCACCCCTATTTTATTTTTCTATGTCCTAATTTTCATTTGAAATGTATTTATCATCAAAGAATATGGGCCCTAAAAAACATCATCCCCATTATTGCGCGCCATCACTGCTCACCTTGATATTTATTTATTGCTAGTAAACACTTTCTTAAAATGTTTAAAATATTAAAAATATAATTTTCCTGGTTATTTTTATAGTAATACTTTTGATTATTTTTATAGTAATACCTTTTCAGAAGCATATCGTGGATGGAGGAGAAAATATACTACCTAACGGTAATGAATAGACTTGCAAAAGACAAAAAAAGCTAAAAAACATTATTTTTAACATATTACACTCATCTAATTAATGCGGCAGCAATTTAGAGTTTTGAATTAGATCTTCCGAGATTAGTTAGTGGTTTTGTTTGATGTGGACATTTGCAAGTTAATCGAATTCGAGAGCTTAATATGCTTACCTTGCACATATCGCATGTTCTTCCGGAATAATTAGATCTGCAGACACAGGCACCGGTACTGTTGCACGTTTGAAATTTAGATCCATCTTCATTACAGTTGCAAGCTAAAAGAAATGCGTGATTCAACACATTCATAAATAGCCTAGAAGAGTAGTGAACACCAAATAATTTGGATTTGAATTTTTAATATTATATTTTTTCATGTTGCAGTGGTAGATAATGATTTTTAAAACATAAGCCGTTAAATTGTTCAATCTCGATGTACATGTACCTCGATATACACATTATTGGAAGTAGGCATTTGTATTTGTAACTAACATCAACTACTTTTTTTAAAATATTTTATTAGGAATTAAATTTTGTTTTTCATGAAATTTTTTAATTGTTATTTTGTGTTTATTGCTTGCCAATATTATTGACAATACCAGTATTTTATATTTAAATAATCTATTACTGAAATTTTAAATCATTGTAACATAATAAAAATAAAGTATAACGGCATAATTATAATGTTTTGTTATCTATAAACTTTTGTTTGTCCACACAATGGCTACGACACACCTGAGACACTATATACCTACAATACAATGTAGTTAATTCCTTGCAGTATAGCCTACATGGGATGCAATATAAAATGGATTTAAGCGAAACGTTACAGTTTTAGCTTTACTTTATAATTACTAAATTGGTTGCAGTTGGCTTCACCGCCCGAAAGTAATTAGCATAAGTAAGGGGAGAGATTAATTCGTGGTTGTACAGGTATTTTACCACTATGTAATGAATCTAATATTGCTGTATAAAGTTGTTTACCGGTTTATAATTTTCTTAATTAATTGTTCATTAAATAAAAAAAATGTGCAAGGATTTTAATATCATTTCTTGTATGGCATTTTATCAATTTAAAACAAGGAATAATTTTTTAATTTCTATGTATTTTGAAACAGTGTTGTCCAAAATGAAATTCTTTTTCAATTGGTTAAGTTGTAAGGATTACTTATAGTTCAAGCTTTTTGAAATATTTTCGTTGATTTTCAATAATTCTTCATACAAATTACTATCAAAGTAGCCAATAATGTAAAGAACAATATAAAAATATTAATTCAGTTATTCTGTAATGTTTATTTCACAAAAATATATAATTTTTTTTCAGGCTTTTAATTTATGATAAGACGTGGATAAAAGTACTTTAGCGTTTTTTAATGAGGCTCCGTTTATATATTATTGCTGTATTGAGCATATGACCTAACTGCTCTCTTTTAGTTAATTAACTTTAAAGAGTTTAAATATTAAACCTTTTTAAACATATACTTATGCAGTATGTATTAACAATGTATTCAAAAACAACAATAATTCTTCTTTGTGTATAGATATTGAACAATTAGGCACTGAATTTAAACCCTGTATAAAATAAATAGCATTAAAGTTATGTTATAAGTTACAAATTTATTTTTGTATATTTTGATATACTTATTTTCAAATACATAAATATTATTCACTTCACTTTAAATCTGATATGTTCGATTCTTCCCTACATCTTTTTGATAGGGAAGTTTTATTTCAATAAAGTGATAAACTTTTAGGAGGAATAGTCAAAAAATAAGATTTATTGATTCACTGGAAATCTTCCTTATTTCAGTGTAGAACTGTTGCGTTCCAGTTGCACAGAAGACACCTCTACTTCGGATAAGGGTAGTACCCATCAGGGTGTACAAAATTTTGTCATGGGGAAGGGGATTGGAACTTTAGGGTAGTTGATGCACTAGTACAAATTAAAAACCCCTCAATATAAATTTAGCGACAAAAAATGACAAGAGTTAGAACTATTTAATAACTATGTGGATAGTTAAATAGTAAACTATTTAACGTACAGGGTATCCCAAATTACAAAAAAATTGACATTTTGCTGAAACTTTTCTTAAAATGAAATCTGAAAAAAAACTGGAAATGCATCTCTGTGTATTCTCTGTGAATTGTAACTCATTTATTTATAAAGATAATTCAATAATACTCTGATAACCAGGTTTACTAAAAAGTCCACACCAGATGTAGGCTCAGAAGGGATAACTGTAGTATGCCATTCGATGTGATTTAGTTTAATCTCTGGAGAAGAACACTACGGTCTTTCAGGCTGAGGTATTCGCTATCTCTAACTGTGCACAAGAAAATCTTAGAACTTGAGATCATAGCAATGAAATAATGAAAGGGTTATGTTGGCCAGACAAAGTTCAAGCACATGATTTATGGGAATAGAAGCAGCACTCAGGCAACCACAGTGCTATTTAACAAGATCCATTGATAATTGGATCAACGGAAGAAATGTCGAGCGGATCTGGTTCGCGGCAGATTCAGTTTCTTATAATGGACCTAAGACTGACATATCTCTCTTTCTTTACAATCGTAATCTCTTCTTCCACTGCTTTCTTTATGTTGTAAAATTTGCAATCTATATTTTCAAATCGGAAGTCTACATTTTCCAACCCGTTGCCTATTTCTATCTTTATGTCATTTATCCTACTGGCTCCCCCTAGTAGCTCTTAATGCATCCTGCCTTGTCATTAATTCATCCTGTCCTGTCTTCATATCAGTCTTCACTGCCGTCATCATTTTCACATGTTGTTTCAGTGACTACTATTTTTGTTACTTCACATCTTGTACTCACTGACAGTGTTTTCCAGACTAAATAATCTTCAGTTTTTTTGAGGTTAAGTTGTTTCTTATCGTGAATTTTCAAAGTTGTAAACGCTGTATAAAAATTATATTAAATAAAGGAAGTTCGGTACAATATTATATTATAATTTAAGACTAGAACCACCCTAGCTATTTTTTAAATATTTATGATTTTCCTGTAATTTCCCTTTAAATCATTCTAATTAGTACAATGCATGTCAATTACCTTTAATCCTCTTATCCTATTGTAAGGGAAACTTACAGGAATTACTTGTTGTGGGGAGTTTCTAACTATCATCTTACATCACTGCTAACGATTATGATTAGGCTTAGTGCACGTGCAGAATCTAATAGAGCCGTTGCAGGGGTCGGTGGCTGACTCGCGACTGTTCAGTTATTTACGGAACCTTATAGTAGTTAGTGTCGAGTTGATACCTTTCTTTTTTACGTCTGCTGTAAATTGTATTCGCCGTGTGTATTTAAATAACTATTTATAACATAATTCACATTAACACCTATTAGATGGGAGTAAAATGCCAAAAGAGAAAAGAAATAGACGGGAACTATATCAAATGTGGTTTGACAGTGATCCGGAATGTTACAGGAACATACGTATTAAAGGAAATGACCTGTTTTGTACTGTGTGTGAACGCATTATAAATTCTTGTTACAAAACTAAAGTGACAAGACATTTGAAGACCATGCCTCGTCTAGCGCTGAAGACTGTATCTTTTCATGAACTTACAGAGGACTTTCTTTTAAGCAATATTCCATTAAACAAACTAGAGAACCCCAAGTTCCATAATTACGTAAATTGGAATCACATGGACTATCTTTAAATGAACAATTTGATATAATAAATGATGTAAAAAAAATATATACGATGCCAATAATATACGCCCAGTAGTATGATAAAAGAAAAAATGCAGGATACACCACTTTAGAAAACATATGCACAGTTTTATCTGGTACATATCAGGAGTTACCAGCAAATATATTAATATATAAGTAGTTCTTGCCTCAACAATTTCACATACTGTCCGTTGTCAACTGTAGACGTTAAACGGTCATTTTCCGTACCCAAGTTAATATTAGAGAGAAGAAGAAGAAAGAAATGCACGTAGTAATATGTTTTAACTCCTTCCAACATACCACGGAAGCCCTGTCTCAACACTAAGGTTTATCGGGTAAGTGGTATCATTGGTAATAGTACTATATTGCAACATATTTTCTGTAAACATATTAATATTTTCATTCGTGATCTGACTACGTTCCTGTTAAACTCCGCGGCGCACTAAGCCTAATTATGATACTCACGTTCACATCCTAGCTGGGAAAACCCATAATAAAAATTCTGGCAGGCATCGCAATGAAATCCCTCAACTCCCGATCGGCATTCGCACATTCCCGAATGGGTGTCGCAAATATCCGACTTGGATCCAATTGGGTCGCAGCTACACGCCGTACACAGCGCCGTGACGTTCCCGTAGCCAACCTAACATTTAAATTCAGTTAACCGAAGGAATATTTGTAAATATAACATGGGATACCTCACATCGGGAACACGTCCGTCCAGTAAATCGTTCCTTGCACCGGCACTGACCGGTAACGTTGTCGCACTGTTTTGTAGTCGAACCGATGGGGTCGCATTCGCATGCCTTGCAGTTCGCTAAGATCGGATCGCCGTAGTGTTCGGGTTTGCATCTTTCACACTTCCAACCTAAAATATATATGAAGAGGTCATAAGTGAGTAGGAACAACGTAGGAACAAAAAAAAACAAGGCTTCCACACTTCAAATTTGTGGTAGTTGGTTATGATTTATACAGGTTGGTCCTCAATTGTCTCCAGATATTTTCATAGCGGATAGCATACCAGGTGTCTCTCTAAATTGTTAGTGAATCTAAACAAGTAATAAGTATAAGAAGCAATGTCAAAAATACGAATAATTGATAATAATGGACTCTGGATTTTCTAACAATTTATTTTCCTCCTAGTATATGACATTGCGCAGGACCGGCCCTTGTTTATTGATTTTATGTTTTTAAATCTCTTCGCAATTTTACGCCTGTGAAGTCGTTACCCCCACACGAATTAACTGATGTTGATGCATGTTATGGAACATCTCATCAGGTGTGTGTCCTTGAAATTTCTCTTTCTTTAGTTCAATACTGAATACCAGCAACAATATACATATTAAATAATACACACTGACAATATGAAAGTGTAAAACGTTTTTCTCATCAAGAATAAAGTAACAACAAATCAGACCACATATATTGCTGTACAAATTGGAAGTGTATAATTTTAAGGGCATGGTTTTCCTCTTAAATAGGTAAGGAGTGTACCATCACATGATTTTAAGCAACACATTCATGTGGGTCTCCCAAGTATACTTTTTGTCTTATCATTTCATTTGGTGGGAACATAATCATTTATTATCGTTGCATACAGATAAATCACGCCGAACGGTGTTTATAAACACAAACGTATAATTTTTGAACAGATCATCTACATATAATTTTCCTCAGCCTTGATACAAATTCAATTCAATACGATTTCGTAATTATTTTGCCATACTTTTGCATTCTGTTTTGTTCATATGATTTTACAAAGAATTCCCGTACATATTCTCTTCCAAAAAAATTGAGAAGCTTTCAGGATTTCTCTACAGTCACATCAAATTCATCTTCTTTAAATATATGCTTTTTAATCACCCTTTTATCTCTAATTATTCATATGTATTGCTTCGGAAGCCAGTAATGGAACATGGGGATCAAAGGGAATAATATTAACCACAAGAATTAATATATGAATGTCAGAGATGCTTAGGGAATAATTTTGCATACCTACCTTTTGTTGATTTTGCATACCGGTTGTTATTCGTCAAAATATATCAATTATGAAGTTACTTTTTGGACAAATGTCTACAGTGTTTAGATAACACTACATAAATTTATTGAAGTCTGGTAATTTTTCGTTAAAACATGTTGGGGTATGTCGATCTTATTAGTTGTGTATTTTTTTATAATGTATTTTTTTTATAATGATTTGACATAAACATATAAGACCAATCAAATACTCTGTAAATTAGTGGGAAGGTTCTTTAAGAGATATTTAAAAAAATGTACAGGTGCAAAAATTGTATAAAGACGAATATTTTCCTATACATGATACGCTTAGTCCCATATAATTAATCATACACAGAACAATGAATTTATTTATAAAATATGTCGTTCCCAGCGCACATTACGGAAAATAGATTTAAATAAAATTTCTTAAAGTGTATGTTCTGATTTTTTACGCATTTCCATATTATTGTGAAATGGAGTATGCAGCACATTTGTTTTATGGAATATTCAGGCGGTCTAATTCACTTACATGCACCAACGAAGGAATTTTACTGTATCTTGTGGCGACCTAGAAATCGAGTATAGAGAGCAATGAGACTTCTTCAGATATTTTGAATGAATTATGAAAATGCAGCAAATAAGCAGACCAAGAAAGTACTTTTCTCCCAAAAACAAGAAACTAGAAATTACTGATATACTAAGTTCTCAAAATATTATGAAGTCAACCGGTTGTAACACAGACATAATGTAACATCTTTCCCTTTATCTCTAATATAGTTAATCTGTGATTGAATGCACGGTAGGTACAAATTTTGATTACAAACTGTTCGGTAGAACCAGTTTCTATACAGATACATGGTTGCTTAATTTCAAGATTTTGGACCAGAAGATGGGTGTAAGACTTTTCTGTATTTCTTTTTGTGCAGAAGATATGTATGTCTGCTCTCCCCACTTGCTACTTGTAATTTACGTACAGTATGCAATATTTACTTTTGAACACACAATCGCCATTTCTATTTCAGCTTTTATTATTCAATAGAAAAAAAACTACTTTTAGATAATTGAATTTACTGCATTACTACTGATACAGTAGTATACAATATTTGCGCTACCGGTAGTTATTCTTTATAGTGGAGTAGGGAAAGTTTATTTATCTGGATTCCAGGCTTCCATAATTCTGTTCACAGTCACCGACAACCAGATACGTGTTGAGTTTGTCTTATCGTTTGGAGCGTGTTGTTTGTGTTATGTATAAGCATTATATGCAGCGTGGTAAAAAAGTTCTGCATAAAATTCATATTTTCGTTAAACAATTTTTTTTTCGAAAAACGGTCAGACCCGTCGATTTTTATTTGATCCAGGGCACCTTGTTATGTGGAAAATTTTTTTTTTTCGATAATCCACTTACTGCAGCGATGACATAATTTTNGTGTTGTTTGTGATATGTATAAGCATTATATATATTTTTTATATTTATATTTTTTATTGTTCCTTCTTTATATTTTTTTTCCTTGCTTGGTGACTGCGTTTTATTCCTTTGAGCAGGAGAAATAAATAAATTACCCATACAAGAATATTTTCCGCCAGTCAGTCACGTGAGGGAGTACCTAAATTTTGCAGCGCTGGTAAGCGCAAACAGTTCGTGACAAAAAATGTAAAGACGAATTGTAGAAATTTTGTCTATTTTTTTATATTACTATATTTTTTGTAAATTCCACTGGAGAAATTCGTTTTTGCCACCATTTTTTGCTAAATAGCGATATTTATGAAAAAAAAAAAAATGCGGTTAGAATGTTGAAATTTAAAAAGAGCACCTCAAAATCTAGTAATTTTTTACTTAATTCCTTTTTTCGTTGTAGGTATCATTTCTGTACAAATATACTTTATCTATTTATTTAGAGCGATGTTTAAAGCTATAGATCACATCTCATTTTGATCCAGTTGGACTTAATGGCGTGAAGGGTAACAGAGCATGATTCATACTCGCAAATTACCTACCTTCAGTGTTTCCCTTACAACTTAGGCACTGTCCCGTTAATCTGTCGCACGGGCCACCACGGCAGTCACACGGTCGACAGCTATTTCCTATTTCTAACGGATTTCCATAATATCCATCGTCACATCTGAAATCATGAATATTAACAACTTGCATTCTACTTGATAAAACCCCACAACTGGGATTTCCTATAACTATACGGGCCGTATAATTTTCTCCATGTTAATTTCGAACCTTAATCTGTAAAATCTGTATTCTAAATATTTGAAATAAATCGGCAAGTTGGTATTAACATATTCTCTAAATATGTATGTTTCATTCTGGGATATTAATAACCAGCTCAAGTACGTAATTGTTTATTTATAGAGGGACAGGATGTTTCACGATGAATTTGGAGGAAGATTCCTGAAGTTAAAATATTGAAGCAAACTAATCAAACTATACATTAAAAAAAATTTACATTAAAAAAAACATATAATCCATTAATACTTCTCCAATTTGTATTTTATTAGATAGGTACTAGCCAACTCAAATAAAAATACTTTTTTTTCCAAAAAATCTTATGTAATGAAGTCAAACAGTGTTTATCGATAACAGCAACTTAAGTATGCAGAAGAGATGAAGTTTGACAAAAAAGTAACTGAAATTGGTAATTTTCTCAAAAAGTAATTATTTAATCTTCAATTTTTGTCACATCCCCTTCAAAGTAGCCGAACGCTTCCTTGCACTTAATTTCGTTTTTAACACAAAATATCAAACAGATTCTCTAATCCGACATTTCGCTACAAAAAATCGCCAGAAACATTGAGATAAGTCTTACTTACGCACTCGCTAAACACAAAGTAAGCGTGGCAATTTATAGTTACGTCACTGAGAGTGCTATCAATGCACAAAAGAAAAATCAACTTGATAAACAAGATATAATACGCACAATTTGAAAATTTCCGTTACTTTTTGATCAAACCTCGTATCTAGCCCCACAGACAAGATACCTAACTAATGATATTGTGACAAACAAGTACTCTAAGGGGCACACGTCATAAGTAGCATTAAATTACATCAGCAATATCTAGAAAATAGGTTGTAATCGATTCTTATTCAAAAATAAAGACAAAAATTATTATATGTCTAAATTTAATTGATACAAAAACACATTGACATTGTTAAATATATGTAATTATTCAAAGAAATATCTTGTATTTTTGTTATTCTAATATCACCTTTGACAAAGACTAACACGTAAAAACAGCCTATAGTAGCTGTTTTTTGTTTCCACATTTTACTTAGGATTGATTCACCAGGGAGTTTCCTTGCTAATGGAATTAATAAATATTAATTCAACAGAAACATAAAATTTTGAGACAAAAAATTACATTTTGAAACGGTAGTGCCAGAGGGATTGAATATGATTACATTAACATGAACTGTCTTTTTCCCTGTATTTTTACTTTATTAGAAGGATATTGAGCTAATCCAAATAAATTCAATAATTTGTTCAAAAAATTTTCAATTTTTAACAATACTTCAAGATATATTACGCCAGTTAAGATGAAAGTTTCAACTAATATGTGGAAATTTCTAAAATAGTATTAATTTTGTGCAATTTGGATAAAAAATTCCACCATAATGTGTCTTAATTTCACTGTATTTATCGAAGAAAAAAGATTTTTGAACGAAGAAAATCGATTTTCACTTTTTTCACCTATTCACCCTTTATTTCCACCCCTAAAATAGGGGATGATGACATTCGCAATAATTTTGCCTAAATCTGTATCAAATAAGCTTTAATTTAAAAAATGTATAACGATTCGATAATTCTACTTCGAGATATTTGATTTTGACATAAAAAAATGCCGTTTGACCCATAGTGCGACGCCAATGGCTAGTGGACCAATTGTGACAGCTCTATTTATGAGTTGAGATGAGGAGTTTTTATTGTTAATACAAATGGAATTAAATGAACTAAACAAATAAAATATTCAGTAGCATTACAATTCTAACATTATTAATGGCATTGTCTCCCTGTATCTCAGCCAGTGGTTGACATAATTATATACCAATACAGTTAATTTTTACCGTTATTTTGTTAAGTTGTCCGCCTAAGATTCATTTACTTATGTTAAATATTTTTAAATACCTATACTTGCAAGTTATCTTTGGCCTAATCATCATAATTTGGGTTCAACATTATCAATATAGCATCTGAGTTTTTCAGTTAAATGCACTCTGTAAGAAGAAAACTTTTACTTCCAAATTTCAATTTCGAAAATAAAGCACTACATTTTCTTTTTTCGACCATCTAAAGAGTGACCGCAAAGTTAGCCTATGTTCTCACCCTTGCCAGAGACCTTAAAAAAATCCTAAAATTATTCTGCATATGTCAAATTATTAGTAATGAAAAATCAAGATTAGGTAGCATATTTTTTAGTTTTTTGAAAAATGTCGAAAATCACCCCTAATTAGGGGTTGATATGATGACGCAAAACTGAAATGTATGAATAATATCAATAATAATAAAAGCAATTCTTATTGTATTTTTTTTATAAAATAAAATCTTACAAATAATAATAATATCTCTACTCCTCATTCTAACTACGAGAATTAGCCCAGAAGTCGGAGATTTGTGCGGGAGGGGAGGCGGCATATTATCATTAAGCAGGCCGCATTTGCGCCCAGGAACGACTTATGTTGGTACGCCCTAACCACAATTCAGTGCAGGAATGAGGGAAACCTGGAAAACCTCATTAATTAGGGGGGTGGTCAAATGCCAACCTGTGTCAATCCCTCACATTGACCCAAGCCAACATTCTTCCACTCTATACCATACCTGCACAGAGGTTGCCAATCTCCGTACAAGCATAGCTAATCTACGGTCTACCGGCCGCGGAATTCGAAACCCGGGCAGATAGCACACATCGATTAAAGTACTGACGCCTTAAACCGTGCGGTTATCGACCGCAAACAAGATTTTTCAAATATTTTTTTATTTTTTATGTTTAGGGGATGATTTCACCCCCTATGAGGGTTGATTTTTATAAAAATTTTTTGAAATAATTAGGTCAAGTCAGCTTAATCTTTCTGATTAGAAAAGTAAGATCTATTATAAAATATTCGACAGTTTTTTTATATCGCTATGATATTTTCGTATTTTCATTCGGGGGTAGTTCACCCCTTCGTTACAGGGGTGGTTTTCTTATAGATACTAGTGAGAAGTACACGATTTGAATTTCTAATCATTTAGAATATCCTAGTACTTTTTCGTAGATTTTTCAAGTAATTTTTGATTTTTTCCGTATTTAGGGGATGATTTAAGCCCCTTAGCGAATTTAAGGGTGGACTTACAACTATATCACGCCCTCATTAATCATGAAAATAAATTATTTCCTATTATTTGTAAGATTTTATTTTATAGAAAAAATACAATAAGAATTGCTTTTATTCTTATTGATATTATTCATATATTTCAGTTTTGCGTCATCATATCAACCCCTAATTAGGGGTGATTTTCGACATTTTTCGAAAAACTAAAAAATATGTTCGTCTTGATTTTTCATTATCAATAATTTGACATGGCATGCAGAATATTTTTAGGATTTTTTTAAGGTCTCTGGCAAGGGTGAGAAAATAGGCTTAAAATATGCTGTTTTTGCGGTCACTCTTTAAATTTTGCGTTTGGTCAATCAATCTTGAAGAGCCTTGCAAAAAGCTGAATCATAGGATTAAAAGTGGGCTCTACGCGAACGTAATGCAAATTTCGCAGTTTCAGTACACGGTGCGCAGGAAACACCGTTATAGTATATAATTAAAACGGTCTCCTACTTACATATCACAGTGATCGCCCGTATATCCCTTGGGACACTGCGTGCACACGTAATTGCCCTCATCCTCCACCCTTTCAGCGAAGTAATCGAGCTGGCAGCTGGGGCTGAAGTTATTTTCCGGGTTCGGCAGTGGACAGGCACATCTCTTACAGTCGGCGGGGGTCCCTCGCAGCGGGTTTCCGTAGTAGCCTGGAGCGCAGCGCTCGCATTTCTCACCTGGATATTAGACCGCGAGTCGGTGTTTATTTTGGGGTTTACGGAGAATAAGGAAGCGGACAGGACCCTCGGCCCGTCTTAAATTGAAAGGCATGTTCCTGAATTCATTGTCTGGGCTGGTTTACACTTGTCAGTTTGCGAAATTTAAGATGGAAACTTTAATTTTCTAGAATATATCGAGTTATTTTCATTTAAATACGAAATTTTGGGCATGTTATTTTTAAATAAAATAAGGATTTGGTATTATTTAATCTATTAAATTAGTCGTATGGATGTTCTGAAGTTATTTATTTGTGGCATATTGAGTTCTATAAACAACTCTTGACGCAAGAAGTATGTAAATTATATTTCAGTTAAGTTTCAGTTATTTTTATTTCAGAATTCATTTCAAAATTCGTTAAAAGTTATTAGGAAAAGTTCAGATTATTTTTGGTTTTGATATCAACACAGAGAAAATAGCTTGATTGTCTGTGATATCAAGCACTTCAATGAATTTTTTATTCCATTATTACAGCTTCATATAATAATATATAATATATTTTCGTAAAATCGCAAAAACAGCCTTCATACGAGTTCTTACTTTTTATCAAATTTTATTCTTTGTTATTAACTGCAGGATGAGATATGAATGTTAGTAAACTTTATAGTTTTTGAAATAAAGATTGGTTCATGTGAGAATATATTTTTATGAAATTCTGTTGTTCATATAAGAACGAACCAGGTATTGCAAACAAATTTTAGGGAATTTTACAATATTCACTGCTCATTGTTCGTTCTGTATGCATCTTAAATTACGTCAAAAGTTCCATTTTTACGTTTCAACTAATTTATTTATTATTTTTAGTTACATAATGTAATAGTACTAAACTCGATAGTTGTTGGAATAGTTATTAATTTATATGTTCAGGAATTGATGTGATATATTGGGTGTCCCGTTCATGTTTCAAAAAAACTTGTGTATAAATTCCTCGTGGAAAAATAATAAGGGTAGTTCATGTAAAGTTTTTTTCTTAGACGCCCCGTTTTCGAGATACAGTGTGTTGAAGTTGTTACTTTCCAAATGGTTTTCCTTAATTATTATTTTTAAATCGGCTAAAGGTAAAAATGTCAAAATTTGTACACGAGTAAACATCAACTGTGCGTTAAGAATAATGTGCAAACGGTTTCTTTCTGAAAAGCAGTGTCGCCGATACAGGTAATTGAAGAGGTACGTACAATCGAACAAAAAATATGTTAAAAGTCTTTTATTACATTTCTAAACGGTTCTGTAAACTCTAAAGCATAATACAAAAAAAAGGTATACTTCGAAATTCGGTAGCATGTACCATTTTCGAGAAAAATGAAACTGCATAGAAGGAAATGGAGGACAATTTCAGTATCTACTGAAGTATAGTATTTCGAGTTTGCACATTTTTTTAATTGTGGAGCTATCTTGTTCTGTATGTCTCCGAGTCTCTTTCCTAATATTTTTCAGCTTATTCAATGGTAAGGCCCTCTTTCAATTTAATATTTTGTTAATGTACTTGTGCCGCTTTATGTGAGCAAAAAAATGAATTTGAATAAATCTCGTGTTAGTGTCATAGGGATTGAAAAATTGTTCATTTTAAATTTGTGGCGTGTTACACAATGTTGCAAAGAAGTGTTCGCAAAAATGTGTATTTTTAAAAATTTTTCTTATTCTAGTTGAAGTCTCCTCAAGTTCTTTATGCAACTCCAAATTTATTTTGACCTTAAAGGACGCATTGCCAGGTTATGATTTTTTGAAATATTTTTTGGTCATGACAACTATTCATTCTAACAAAAGCTAATAGGTTTTTCTAAAAATTTTAGAAATATTCTTAACTAGATCTATTGTATACGGAAATAGTGTTACAACAGCAGCATCTTACACAGGATGTTCAAAATTCTTTTTAGATTGTTAAACTGATTTTAACTACTATTTTCATTTTTTGGTATTGAAATACAGCAGAAAATATATTTCCAAACAAACAAAATTCGTAATAATATTTTAAACAGCTTGTAATATAATTTTTTTAATATTTGATGATGACGATAAATTTATTTAATATACAAGGTGGGTAATAAGTACGTCACGGAATGTAGGTACAGTTTTTTTTTTTGTATTTTGACATCCACTTACAGGTTTAATAATTAAAGATAGAAAGAAACTTTAAATACAAATGTACGACTTTTCCTTTATTTCATTTGACATCAAAATTTGCTGGCATAAAATATATAAGTTTAAAATAAAAAAAATCATTAAAAAAAATGAAAATTCATTCTTATGAAAATAACAAACAACGATTTTTATAACTAACCTTTACAACAACATAAGGAGAATACCTAAAAACGAAATAACATTAATGTACCTACAATTTTTACAAATCAGCATGCAAGTGATTGTGATGATACAGTTGAAAATATGTTTTAATTTACTATTGCTTCAAAAACAAATTCAAAATTATCAAGCATTTCGTCCTGTATTTTTCTTTCAATACTTGTAAATTTTCAGGGAAAAAAATATGTCTAAAGGACTGACAATGAGATCGGGGCTGTTTTCTGGCCACTTAAGGTTTCTAATAATATTTTTTAGTGTTCGTAAACGGGATTCTTCCTCCAAATTAAATTTGCCAATATTCCTGAAGAACTTTTGCACATTATTGTTATTTGAATAATACAGTTAATTATTTATTTTTCGGCATCAGAATAACCCATTGTAATTTTTAAATTTTTTAAATTAAAATGGGTTATTCTAATAATGATAAATCCCATGTATTTTTAAAAGAAGATTCGTTTCTGTCGTTTTTGTCTGATTGTGTGCGAGAGAAATAGAGTTATAGTGTGCGATAGAGCTAGAGTGACTCTGTCCTCATAGAGATAGAGTGACTCTGTCCTCATAGAGAGCTTATCTCTCTCTCTCTCTCTGCTGTCTTTAGGAGTCTCCCCAGCAATTTCAGGACACCTAGGGAGGGAACGTGGTGTAGAGCGCTTGGCCTTTTTAGCCTTCGTTATCGATCTATGATGTCACACAGTATAAGAAAAAAAAAAAAAAAACGATTTTTGCTCGTAACTCGGAAATGGCTGGAAATATAAACTAATTTCCCCTTGGTTCTGAGTAGAGCACTCGGTGGGTGACGCAGGGCGGGGTGTCACAATATATGAAAGAAAAAAAAAAGTATTTGCTTAGACTCTAAGTATCAAAAAATCTCCCATGGTGAACAAATAAATCTCCCATGGTGAACCAGTGAAAAACGTCAAAACCCGCATGTCAAAAAAAAATCGGGAGCAATGGTGTTTGACATCATAGGATAAAAAAGTGTTTATAACTCGGAAACGGTGCGTTGAATCGAAAAAATAATTGAAAAATGTCAACCCCTCCCTCCCAGGTTGTGTATGTTCCTTCTGCGTTGAATGCAAAAGGTCCGAAGTCCGTATGTCGAAAATAAATTTTGGAAACAAGAGGTATGTCGTGTTATTGTAAAAAGGCCGTATAACTCGGAAACGGTGCGTTAAATCGAAAAAATAATTGAAAAATTCTCCCCACACCCGTGATTCTGTGTGTCAATTCTGCGTTGAATGGAAAAGGTCCGAAGTCCGTATGTGGAAAATAAATTTCGGAAGGAAGAGGTGTGTGAGGTGATACAGTAAAAAAGGTCTTATAATTCGGAAACGGTGCGTTGAATTGAAAAATAATTAAAAAAATCTCCCCACTACTCTGGTTCTGATTGTCCGTTCTGCGTTGAGTGGAAACGGTCCGAAGTCAGTATGTCGAAAAACAAAAAAGTTAGTCAAAAATTGCAACAGCAGTAGCGAATGCAATATCTTATCTCTGTATTGATTGATGATTTGTTGTTTTTTTTTTAAATAAATTTCGTATTCAACTACTCCTTGAGGTTCCAGCAATTTTACATTGTGTTAATTTTTTGAACACCTTGTGTCACAAATATGAGCACTACCAATGAGATCCATGATATGCAACACTTGTGTCAATAATTATTTTACCTATCTAAAGAAATCAACAATAAGAGGCAGTACCCATCTAAAGATACACAACCTGTATAATGCAATTATTTTAAACATAGGTGTTAATATCGTACCATATTGAAAGTCGACGCACAAATATAAAAACATTAATTTCGAGTTTTTGAATTTTCCCATTCCAAGGTGATATAAAATAAATAATTAATTAATTAGGTAAATTCATAGTTTTAATTCTAACTTGATTTATTTTATTTAACATTTAAGGCAAATGTGATTTCCAAACGCAAGATAAGTTCCTTATCTCTTTAATTACATAATTGAAAGCATTAAATTTATTTAGCAGTTATTATTTGGCAACAAAGCCACTGCTGGAACTGCCGCCTATTACCAAGTAGAAGAGTTACCACGGTAAATTTTATAGCTGGAAGGCGGCTAAGGAGATCCTGCTTCCATTTCGGGTTGCCAATTTCCAGCATTTAAGTAGTAGTCTGTAGCGATACGCTATATTGTCTGTGGTAAGTACTGAAATTTAATTGAACAGTTGTTAACGACAAAAAATATTAAGGTTATAAAAAAGATCTAGGGGAAGCTTTAATTAAAACAAGAAAATTAATGGTCCTTCGTTTAAATTAAATGTACATTTATGCGCCATACTTTTTTACATACTATATATAGAATAATTTTAAAATGCACCATTTTCAGTACAATTAACATTCTCACAACGAGATTTTTACTCTATATAAAGGAAATACTGTGACAGAAATAGGAGCCACTAAATGGCCACCCTGTATTTGAAATAATAATTAAAAATGTAGCAAAATATTTTGTATAATACACAAATTGGTATCATGATTTCTACACTTTTTTCTCTAAAATGCCTCCTTGTCGGTTAAGTACCTATAATCGTTTTTAACCAATTTTGAGTATTATTCTATAACTCTTCAAGGGTGCATTTTAGAGAAAAAAGTGTAAGAATAAAAGTATTTTAGTTTGATCTATTTAATACGCATGTGCAATAAAAACTTTTTTCTTTCATTGTCTTTCTCTAAAATGCGTCTTTGAGGTATTTTAATGCTCAAAATTGGTTAAAAATGGTTATAATTCCATGAGGAGACATTTTAGAGAAAAAAAATGTGGGTATAATAAGTTTTATTTTGACCCTATTAACACGCCTGTATACTTTAGTTTCAAAATCTTATCTATTTTAATAAAAAATCAAGATTTCCACTGATTTTGAGCTATTTTTTGAGGTTAGGGCAAAACCCTGACATGATGGAGCATTTCTGATGGCTGCATCATCTTCAGCGTGTCAAAATACAGGGTATCATAATTCTGTAAAAAAATGGGATGAAAAACAAAATTTTTGTATGCCTATGTTATCAATTCTATTTAATTTTCCAAATACACCTTGAATATACGGTATTTTTTCTGTATGTATAATTTGTTTTTGATGTTCTCAAAAATTTTATCAACAAATCTTTCTAAATCTATTTAATCATATGCCCGTTCTGACGCAAGGGGTTTAATTTTTTTTCTTTTCAGTCCGGCATATCCATTCAGATAAAAGGAGTAACTGACAATGCCACAAATAAATAATTACAGACAATCTAAATACACTTATATTCAATAAAATTTCCTTGTGTTTCTACGTAAATCCGAAGCAAAGATTACAGCATTTTTTTACATTCGTCTCGCAGGTACGATTGAAGTACCTTTATCAGACGTCTGAATACACGGTCTAAGAGCTTGCTTAACAATTTAAGACGGTCGACTGGCTGTTTCACTTTCCCCTAGGGTTAAAAAGAAAAACTTATCTACTAACCAATCGTGTTGTGCTGACAGAAACATTCACCGGTGTTGGGATTACAAGTTTCAGAGTGGCCGTTGCAGTCGCATTTTCCGCAAAATCCTTGTTCCTGGCTGTTCGAGGTATTAGCGTAGATCCTGACGTGGCCGAAGGAGCAAGTCTCGCACGATAATCCAGTGTAACCTTAAGCAGGAAGCGGGTTGTTAATTAATATGTTATGGGGTTTCAGGTCGGGGAGGTGGATGTTTCTGGCCTATATCGATATCCGATTACGTTTAGCTTCTTGGGAAGCGCTCCATATAATATTTATGCGGTAATTATAGCGCGATTGCTTGAACACATTCGTATGATATAATATTCAACGAAACTGGTTTGAATTATATAAGATAATTTAAAAGAACAGTAGTAAATAATATTTATTAGTTAATCTACAAGGAATGGTGGAAAATGAGACAGGCACAGAATTGGTTGAATTATAAAAAGGTGCACACATATGATGCTTTTGATTTTCGTGTAACTTTCATAGATTTCTAAAAAAATTTAATTTTATGAAAACCTTTTTTCCTCTTTTGAACAACTTAACTGTATACAGAACAAGTTTTTCATTTTCAGGTATTGGCGAATGTGATAAAGAAATAACAATTTCCTGAGTAGACCAACGTTCCGATTTATTTTAGATTTTCCTGAAGACTATAATATAATACATATCATGTTCAACTCATTTAAAAAATATGTATATTTTGGAAAATATTAACAAGTTTCAAAAAGGCGCACATTAAAGTATATAAGAAATGTATTTCAACAAAATACAATAGAACAAATAGCAGACAACATTGTCAAATAAATTGAAAGAGGCATAGGTACATATAAGTACTTCGCTAAATTGAAGAAATTGTTCATTAAGTGAATAAATAATAATCTAGATGGTAGAGGCGTAAAGAGAAGAAAACATTATTAATTTTCGGAAGATAAAAAAATATACACAAAATGTACTTGTTAATAATGTTATTGTTTTATTACAATTTAAGAAATGTATTTATTATATAGGGTGTATAAAATGCAATGAATTTAGAATGTGATAAAAATAAGATAATTTGTTCCTATCAGTTTTTGTTTTTGAGTTGCACGACGTTAAATAATGAATTTTTAGAATTCAATTTTAACCATATCTTTCAAATAAACAATGTATTTCATTGGACTTTGGTATACGTAATTCGTTGTTTGTTAATATACAGGAAATTAATGGACGATACTTTAAGGGTAGCTTCTTTCGATGAAAATAAACCGATTTGGATCGTTTTACCTTGGTACTTGCTTGAGTTAAAGGTTACCCAAAAATTAGAAGATTTCAATATTTACAGTTGCAAAGTTATTCAAAAATAATAAAAGGGGATCTATGTAAGTTATTAGAACATTAAAGGCATCATTCATAGCGCAACTTTTTTGTAATTTAACTCTCTCTGTCTCTCTCTCCCTCTGTAGTGGGTAACTAACTACACAGGATATGACAGTACCTTTTCAATAAATTTTCAAGACTAATTCCTCTTGTCAAAACAAACATAAAACAACAAATATGTCTTTCTAAAACACTTCGTAAGGTCTTTTTTATCTTTCAAAAGTTGGAAGGGAAATACAGTTTTTGATCGATGTTTGAGAATTGTTGAACACGGTAGTTACCTACAAAAATTTGATACAAAACTGTTAAAAATATGTTATTGATGTATCAAAGAATCTTGTTTTATTAGCTGGATAGAAAATGTTCATCTAAAATATCCAAAAATTATGACAATGTTAAGACGAACATTGCAGGGCTGATACAGACAACGAGAAATCCCTAAATCTTGTTGTGACTAACATTAATGGTTCGTTTACAATGAACAATGACAAACCGTTACGTTACGATTGGTTGAATAAAATGTAGATGAACCGAAATGTTGTGTTTTAATGTAATCTTGGTTAACTTAACTGACAAGCCCATAACATTATCACGGTTTTTAAACTGTTATACAAAAAATGAAGAAAGAAAATTATAAAAGTTTTCAATGGAAATGATATGTCCAAAACTATAAAAAAAATTGTCCTCAGTATCAAATAACTTCTTTTATAACAGTTAAATCTTTTCCAATTTTGAAATCTATTTGATTTTTGAAATGTTATTAAATAATTATGTTTCATTTGCTTTGACGAAGAAAATTATTCTAAAAGATTGTTACAATGTTTCTGCTAGGCCATGTATGTCTAATAAAATAAGTACGGGGTAAATCATTTGTTCTCATCCTCTTTTTTTTTTGGATTTTGTATTCAATTATTAGTGCACTAAATATTTAAATTTTTAAATAATAAGGCCTACAGGAGCTAGAACTCAGCACTTCTTTATTTGCAGCCTTTCATTGTTGGTTAGTTTCATTAAGTTAGATATATTGTTGGTTGGTTGGTTGGTCAAATTTAAAATCATGCCAAAACATCTCTGATTGTATATTGAATAATAAACTGAGCGTTGCAATATTCTACCTACAAAATTGCAAGGGTTTTCCTGACCAACAACAACAAAAACAAAAAATATAGGTATTTTGGATTTCCGTGTTAGTAATGTATTCATTGGTAGCTCGGAAATTATAAGGTATACATAAAATCGTTAAATAGGGTGAGTTTTAGAAGATCATGGCCCTCAAGCTCTGTTCATTTCCTGATCGAGATATTTTGAAGAAAAATAAATGTTGCGAATTTATAAAAATCTATTGCAACTTTTCTATTTTTATGAATTTTTAAAATATGTAAAATCAAAATTTCACTATGGACTCGGATTTTCATTTCAACGTTTCGTCTCCGGAAAACCATTATAAATTTTGATGTTGAACGAAAAACAAAGCCATCCTTCCTGAGGTTGATGAATTTCGATCAAAATAACGTTGAATGCCGGTATCGAGATCTTCATTATTATTGATAGGTACAATTTTTAAACTGCAATCCCTTCAATCTTATTTAAAGGCATGTCTTAAGCTGTAGCTTCATTAGTGCGATGAATGCTTGCATCCGACGCGAAGTTTGGCCATTATTTTTATACGTTTTCTGATAGGTGGACCGAACTATTCTGCGGACTACAATTCCGTCAAGTACTGAATTATTCTCTCAATATCTAATAAACGGATATCATTCATTCATCTAAACATGGTGGTTCTGCCGATGAATGATCTTTAGAGTGTAATTCAACGCCAGACAGAACTGTTATTCGAAGAGCAGTTTTTTACCGGTATATCAATAGTCGAAGAATTTACTTCGCTTTGTGCAACATCAGTTATACTTTCGCGGTATCTAGAGTTTTACTTGTGAAATTAATTATCAAATAATTAACTCAAAGTATGTTGTTTGCAAGAACAAGCTTTATTCACTTCGTGACAATATTGCCATTGAAATGTTAAGATTTGCAAATAGTTTATATATTCTAAAGCTGACTCTAGTATTATTTGTATCTCTATGCGATACGGAAGATTCATAACATTTATTATTATGATCTAAGCGTTGCATTATCAACAAAAAATATATTATACGGGGTACATCACTCTAGCGATTAGTAAATCGCTATTTGTCAGTAGGTACCAATTAGGTATTGAGTAGCAGTCACAATTAAGATATCATGTGCTTTGTATATTGTATCTTAAAGATATTTGCAGTAAAGTTATGTGGTCAAAAAGTTAAATGATAAAATAAAAGAGTTACTGTCATAACAAAAAAAAATTGTGTTGTTGCAAAAAAAGTATTACTCGGAAGATTATTTCGAGTACTATTCGTAGGTTGTCAAAAAGTGTTAAATGTATTGAATTTGAATGGATTGTCTTAAAGAAAACATGTGAAATACGTGAAAATAAATAAAAGTAATGTGTCTCAAAAGTATAGTGTTTTGCAGATTACTTATTTCATATTTTAGGTTAGAATACCTGAATAACTTTATCAGTGGAATATTGTAATAGCCTGTATACAGGGCTGGAAAATCCACATGGTCCATCTGCCTTTACATGAGAGCGACAAAGTAAAGTAAAGAAATCCGTGCGATAGACAAGGATGGTTACATTGAAGACGTTTCATAATCTGAATAGTCACGGCCCGTTTCGGGTTAGAAGTGGGAGTGTATTCAGATTGTGAAACGTCTTCAATGTAACCATCCTTGTCTATCGCACGGATTTCTATGATTTTATCGCTCTCACGTAATGGCCGATGTACCATGGGGACTTTCCGAACCTGTATAATCTAGTAAAACTTACCTGAAGGACAAGAACATTTTTCCACGCTGCTGTAGTATTCGCTATCGTTCCCTAAATTTAAAACAGCGTCTTCCAACAGCGCCTCTATTTGGTCCATATGAAAGGTGCATCGAAGTAAAATATATTTGAGGTTCATCAGAACCCTTAAAAACTCTCCTCGTGTTACTGATCTTCCCTGATATTTAGCATTGTCTAACGTTGGAATATCTGTCACATCGTTGGACAGAACATACCAGCCGGATTCGTTAAGCTTTATTTCAAAAGCCATCGAGTCCGAAGTGTACGCTTCGCTTCCGTGGGCTATCTTCAATCCATCGCCGCCCACGAGAATTATATTCGGACCTAGGGTCGGCTCGCCGCTGGTGTCCCCCCTCATCACCACCCACTGGACCTTAAATAGGAAGTTGGAGTTGTAAGCCTCGAGTTTGTTCCCCAAATATTCTTCAGGTGCAAACCAGTAAAGGGATGTAATCCCGGAAAACTCGTAGTTTCCCAACGAGAATACGCTTTGACCGTTCCAGTTGGGCTTCACAACTTTGGTTACTTTTAAGTCGGTAATGAGCCAGTCCTTTAGAGATCGGATCTGAAACGAATTTTACCGTTAATTAAAATAGAGGAAAAAATTGACGCCGATGATTAAACTGGAATCCCCTTCAAAAGGACTTCCATGGTAACTTTTTATGAACAGGAATTGTTTAAAAGTTTATTTTTACGGTGGCATGCACTTGCTTTTAAGATATTTAAGAAATGTTTGAATATCCAAATAGAAAAAGAGCAAAAATAAAAATGTTTACTATTTTTTTTTGAAACCTGAAATGGATACAAAATTTCAATTGTCAAAAAGAATCATTCTTCATAAAAATTTTTGCTTGTCCAGAAGCCCTTGGAAAGATCAATTGTTCAATTTAATGTACAGGGTGTTCAAAAATTTGGAAAAGGTAAAAACAGTGAAGAGTAAAGTACCTTAAATCTTAACGCTACGTGAAAAAGTAATGAGGAAATGTTGCTTGGAATTAAATTTTATGTTTAAATATGAAAGCATGGCCTTCTAGTTAATACTCGACATTCTGGGATATTCTAGGACTCTACTTATTTTTTAATAACTTCGGAGAAGCCGTTCTATTTAAAAAATATTGCTTTATTGAAAAACAGATACACATGTTTGCATATTAATAATTTATTTTTTATACAGAAGGATGAATAACCTCAAAAATATTAACTCAACATTTATTTTGAGAACACAGCAGAATCAGTAAGTATGTACGCGCCATTACAAAACTATTCTACATGAAGTCCGCCAAGTTCAACACACCTCCAATCTTTTTCTAAATGCAGAGTTGGTCGAATGTATTTACTTGGCAATAGGTTGAATTATCCTGCTTTTCAAGAAATCAACATTGTGTTGCACTGGTTCTCTGTACACTCTTTCTTTCAAGAAGCCCCAAAGGAAATAATCAAAATACCAATTATTTGTAGAAGGCAATTATTATCAATAATTGCTTAACATTAGTTGTGACATTAGGTGTTGATATTTAATTTTATTCAAATAATGCTTACTTTACAGCATCGCATTTATCTTGTTAAATGTTATGGTATCGGTAACATTTCTTATAGCCAAGCAATTGAATTGTTTCATGAAAAATATCCAGATGTTAAAGTTACCCGCCAAAATCTGAGAAAACTAATTCGAAAATTTTAACTGGTGATGTAAAAAACGTAAAAATGTCAAAAAAAGAGACACGATGACGATGATGCAGCCACAATACTAGTTTTGAATTCGGTAGAAGAAAACCCGACACTGTCACTAAGGAAAATATCTAAACAAATCGATGTTAGCAAGACACATATTCAGAGGATTTTGGTAGAAAATAAGTTTAAAGCTTTCAAACCAAAAGTAATTCACACTCTAGAAGTTCATGATGATGCACATCGTTTGGAGTTCTATTTCGAGATAGGAGAAAGGATTGTGGTAGATAGACATTTCCACAAAAATATATTTTTTTCCGATGAAACCACTTTTCCTATCAATGGAGTGGTATCGTCGCAAAATTGTCGTTTTTGGTCGCAAGAAAATCCCCCCTTTACAATTACTTTAAGAAGTCAAAGGTTAAAAAAAGTAAATGTTTGGTGCGCGATTACTTTCAACCGAATAATTGGGCCATACTTTTTTGAAGCAAAAAATCAATATACGTACCTGGAAATGCTAGACACATTTTTCTGGACCGAATTAGAAGAAGAACATTTGGAATACAGACAAAAAGCATATTTCCAACAAGACGGATGTCCCGCTCATTCAACAATTCTTGTCCGCAATTGGCTTAAAAGAAAATTTCGAGAGAAGTGGATAGGAAGATATGGTCCTATTTGTTGGCTAGCAAGGTCCCCTGACTTGTCGCGGCTTGATTATTTCCTTTGGGGCTTCTTAAAAGAAAGAGTGTACAAAGAACCAGTGCAATACAATGTTGATTTCTTGAAAAGCAGGATAATTGAAGCTCTTGCCCAAGTAACTGAAGAAATGATACGTTCGACCTACGCTGCATTTAGAAAAACATTGGGGAGGTGTGTTGAACTTGGCGGACTTCATGAGAATAGTTTTGTAATGGCGCGTACATACTAATTCTGCTGTGTTCTCAAAAATGTTGGATTCATGCTTTTGAGGTTTTTGATCCCCCTGTATAAAAAATAAATTTTTAATATGCAAACATGTGTATCTGTTTTTCAATAAAGCAATATTTTTAAATAGAATGGCTCTCGGAAAGTATTAAAAAATAAGTAGAGTCCTAGAATATCCCAGAATGTCGAGTATTAACCATGCGTTCATATTTAAACATAAAATTTAATTCCAAGCAACTTTTTCCCATTACTTTTTCACGTAGCGTTAAGATTTAAGGTACTTTACTCTTTACTGTTTTTACCTTTTCCAAATTTTTGAACACCCTGTACATTAAACTGAACAAATGACTATCTTGTCAATGGCTTCTGGACAAACAAAAATTTTTATGAAGAATGAGTTTTTTTGACAATTGAAATTTTGTATCCATTTCAGGTATAGGCAACCCGAACTGGGGACACCCTGTATATTGTGTCTTTTAAGATAACCGAAATTGCATTAGAAAGATGGGCACTCATATACGGTGTCGTTACGAAAACGATTATTCGACTGCAACTTCTCATTGTTGCCTCTAAAGATGCTGGAAAAGAACACAAATGTAAAAATTATGCTAATATTGTTTGTGTTGTTTCTTCTTTTTTCTTATTATTTTTACTATAAGTAGATATATTTCTTGAAACTACGTTTGTTACAATATGATTTTTGAAAGTTCGAAGTTTCGAAAGTTTATGTTCATACAATAAATAAAACTTTCTTTTTAACAAATTATTATTTGCATTCTAAATACAATTAAAATGTGCCTATTATAAAAATTATAGATTTGACTAAGTTTTTGTTGCCTTTCGAAACAACAACTATTTTTCACAATTAATTCAGTTTTAAGAAAGTGACAATTGAGGCATCGAATTCCAGAGATGCAGATTTCAACTATTACAATTAGCAGATGAAATATATATGATAATATTTGAGGAATTCTTGTCATTTATGCAACAGTAATTATTATAAATGTTTCGGATGGTTTTCGAATGTCTCTCTTGATTTATAATTTTTCAGAAAAAGACGTACAAAGACACATTTAGTAATTTATTTCCAGGTTGCTGTTTTCTTTCGTCTGTATTTAAGAAATAGGCCTATGTTTCTGGACTATGGAGACTATGTACTAACTACGGAGACTAAGAATTATGGACTATGTAGACTATGGAGAAACAGGCCTATGGTTTTTGAACTATGATTTATGATAGAAATGATACACAGGTACCCCAAAAAGATGTACCCTAATGTGTCGTTGAGAAAGATCATAACTATATAAAATAGTCGAAAATTCATTTTCAGCAATCTAAAAGAAATGACCAAAAATTAATTTTAAAATATAAAATATCATCTTCGAGGCCTTGCATCATCAGGAAAAAATCGTATTATTTATGTTATGGACCAAGTGATAAATCGGGCATTATACATAATGCCCGGTCATTATGTAAAATGCCCAATATGAGTGTGCAATTTGATAATAATTATTCAAATAATCAAATTGACCGGGCATTATACATATTGTCCATCACCTTTTGGGCAGAGTAATACAAACATATTTAATTACTATTTTTTTAACTTAATAAACTAAATGTTAAACAATTTAAATAATTAGACTCATTATTTGGATTAATTAGCAAGGACTTCTACATTAAGAATCCACTACTTTCTGCATTTAAAACTTAAGGAAAGTCATATTAAAAATATAGGTAACACAAAACATAAAATTTAAAACAAACATTTCACAACATATCTTTGTTTTATAGAACTTTTGACATATTATTATAAAACATAAAATAAACTAACGTTTAAGCAATCTTAAACTTCGTCCTTCCCTCCTCGCACCGTGTCAAATTTAGCTTTGTTATCAAATTGCCCAATTGTCACGTAGCAATATAATAATGACCGTGCAATGTGATAAATAATGAAGTTTAGATAGTAATTAATCACTTAGCCCGATAGAGCTAGACATTATTCATAATGCTCGCACATTATTAATAATGCCCGCATTAATCACCTGGTCCATAACATTTATATTTATCACCTCTGAATTTATAAATCTTAGAATTCATTTTCTACTACCACATGCATAGTGACAGTAAAAAATTGTTTGTTGCATGAATGAGACTCATGTCACCATATGCAGGGTGTCCCGGTACTTGATACATTCGAGTTCAGATAGATGTGGTCAAAATAATATCAGTTCTTCATATAATTTTTTTCCATACGGGCCTTCGTTAACAAGTTACGGGCCCTCAATATTGAAAATTAAAATCTTATTTTTATGTACAGTCTCTAAACTATTAACTTCAGCATGATGCAAATTTGGTGATCCATAACACATTCGTACAGCTTGTTTTTGATGTAGTAAGTGAAACTTCATTATGCCCAGAACGCCAGCGATGGACTATACCCAATGGTTACCAACCCAGAATTTTTGCGTAGATGACGATCGCAATCTGCCAGTATCAAAAATTAGATCCCTGAAGAATAACGATAACACCCTCTTGGTTCAACTCGATAAAATTAACAGTTTAGGAAATATTTTTGATTTTATGTCACAGTGCACATCGAGCGGCGCCTCCACCATTAATTTTTAATTGGACGTAATTACTATGTTAGAATCGTACATATTTTTTAAATAAGAGCCTAGGTAGTCTTACTCTGTACTAATGTAATTTTCACGAACAAAATTTGACAAATACACTACACTTAACACAAAATAGAAAAACAAAACAAGAATAAAAGAAAGTAAGTTAAAAAAATAATTTTAAAGAAGGAAGACTATCAAAATACATTTTCAATATGGACACTTTTCACCTCCACACACTTTCTAAGTCTACGAATGTTATTTGTTTGTACACGAAAAAGCATTTCTGCAGTAAGTATAATATTATTACAATGGAAATAGCAATAGTAATAGGAATAGCAATAGCAATAGCTTT